CTTATAAAAAAATGTTTTTTTTGGCATCCCGCGACATCCCCCATACCCAGGTAGAAACCTTGATCTCCGCCTCAAACAGCTCGGCTGGTTCCATCGGACGGTGATGTGGGGAGTGCTTCCGCCCAAACACATCAGTCTGCTGAGATTGTCCTGTTGTTTTTTTCCGGGATGGACATTGCTTAGGAAACTTTTGAAACCACCAGGATTTTTTGCTTAGGATTGTACCCATTGCTAGCAGCATTGAAAACCCTACAAAACTTCACAGGTCCTGAAATGCTGCAGACTGTGTGGTTGCTGCATGTTCCTGCGTTGCACTTTCCTTAGGTTTGCGCCTGCTACAGCAAAACTGTTTTATCACTGCCGGCTCTGTTCCTGGAGTGCATGATGAACTTGAAGGGTCAAACGGTTTGCCGAATCTCTTTACGAACCTCTCAAAGCTCAAGAGAAATAGCAGCAGGTTTTAAGCACAACACGAGCAGGTTAAGTGCGCAAATGCTCGCCCCCGTGAAAATCTTCCCACAATCTGATTTCAGTCTCCAGCTGTCCAGATTAGAGCTTTCTATAGGTTTCTGGGTTACCAGCCCGTACAGAAGCACATTGAAGGAACATTCAGTGGCGTTGAGTGAGACTGGAATAACCCTTCAACGTCCAGTAAGTCAGTTCTATATGTTCATGGACTATTTGCACACTGATTGTCGGTCGTATTTCAAAAACAGCTTTGGCCAAGCCTCAGACTTTGCTGCAGAAAAATCACGTTGCTTCCTCATTTGTTATGTGTTGATCAATGTCACCATTTTGGGTTGAGAAATCAGCCAAATTACGTTGTTTCCATCTCCCAATCTTACAGCTTCTATCCATACATTCGTGAAACAACACCGAATGGCGTTGACTTTTCTCCCCATGTTTGTTGGTTCCCTTGATTCACCATTTTGCCTCAAGACTTTCACCAAAATCTTTAGTTTTCAAAACTAAGTTTTCTTGTCTCAATCGCATTTTTTTGGGGTCTAAATGGCCATTTCGTGAGGCACAAGGAATCCCCAGGGGCCTTGACGTTCCTCCTCCTCTTCCTCTTCTGAATACTCGGATTGCTCCGAAGACCTCTGCCTGGCTGAGAGGAAAGTCCCCTACGAGTCCATCACCTTTTGAAGGGTGCCCTGAAAGCAGCAAAAATACCCGGATTCCGGTGATATGTTGAGATCATTGACAAAAGAACGCGTGAATCTCCGTGTATACACAGTATACACCATGTAACTACTTTGTGAATGTCATTCAGGTTTGTTGTCATATCATGCCACTCTGGTAGCCTTAAAGGTGGCGCCTCCCTTTAGCATCACTGGCTTCCAGAAGTACCATGTACTATATACATGCAAGATCATGCAAGTGTTCATTAAAGTAGAACTTGACAAATAATGATAGTGCCTTCACGCGCTAGCCGCTAGACATCCTGCCCAAGAATAGTTGGATTTTGAAGTACTCTCCGGCAATTTATTTAGCATAGCTATTGAAAATTGCCATCTATAGGTGATTTATTTCTTAAACATTGTTGTTTTTCACAGCTATGTTAGCTTACACTTCCTGAAACAGGTCAAACAATCTATATCAGCCAGCCTTCGCCAAGGGGTTTACCCAGTGGTCTATTGGCTCCCTAATCTCCCTAGGTGACTGATGGGTACTGATGATTTACTCCCCATTTATCTCAGGTAACCATCCATCTATCCTAGCTGAACCATCCATCGGATTTCTGGGATGATTCCCCCAATCCAAACCCATGGATTTTGCTGACCTCAAGCAGCGAGCTCTTTTTTGGATCTACCCAGATTTGACTCTTATAACATGCATACGCACTTATTCATCACTTATTCTGAGATAACCATTCAATGGATTGGTTCAAGGCAAAATTGTCAGGGTCTATCCACTTTCTCATCCGAAAATTGTAATGGTTCAGAAATAAATGAACCACAACCACATTCAAGGTTTCCACTATTTGCTGGCGATTTCCACTAATTGTGTTTATCATAGATAAACCATGTCATTTTCTGTGAATCTATGACATGGTCTATGATTAATTGCACATATCTATCATCTTTATGACCCAATAATATATCTATCATCTATTATATAACCACTTATTCATCGAACCATTCATCTATGGAATTGCACATATCTATCATGTTCACCATTCAACTTCTGTTTTGACCAACCCTAAACGCGGCACCTGGGCGAGGTCTGAACTCCGACCTACCGCTCGGTTTTTTTCGCGGTTGAGAGTCGTGCTTGGAACATCCCGAAATGGAGGTTTCTAGCTGGAAAAATCATCTACAACAAGGAGATTCTCCATTGCCACGTTTTGATTACAGGAGGGTACTATAACGGCTATTGTAACCGTTGTTAACTATAGATTTAGGGGATTTAGGGGGCAAGATGCTTGGGAAATCAGATTTATTGGGAGATGTAGTGATCATCGCAAAATGTGGGGGTGAATTTCCCGACTTATCTACATGCGACCACTTTTAACACTTTTAAGGGTCAAACATTGAATCCGCAGGACCACACATTGGCCAAATTTACCTTTATCATCCAAATTTGGAGTGCCTAGCTTTGACCCAGACCTACATGTATGGGTCAAAGTAACCATTCCAAAAGTGGGTCTATCGCATCCCAGCAGCAGGTCTTGTTTCGCATTTTGTTATCATGGTGGTGTCAGTTGTTTGCCATGTTTTTGAAGCACAGACCACATGGTTTTCCCAATGAACGTTCCAACTCGTTAAGCATCTGTAACTTCCTGGCGGTTCCAAGTAGCAACCAGTCCTCAAGATCCTCAAGACAACCGGCTCATCGGAAGCGGCACCAAGTCGTATCAGTTGTGACCCTTCAGCCCAACTTAATGTCACCATACGTGGCGCTGAACCATGCTGGACCCATGTAATTCCGAACACAAGAAGAAACTGGTTGGCACAACCATGATTTCTGAACTTTTCTGGGTCAACTCCACCCGTTCACGAATTTCTTCCTGGTCGATCACCCCATTCTTCAGCCTTGATCCAGCCCCAGCCCCCCGCCTGATGCTTGTAGGTCCAATCTGCTGGCCTCGCCAGTAGGCTTGCCCTTTGGTGGGGCGGTTGGCGCTGATATTTGGAGGGAAGTTTTGGGGGTTTGGGGGGTGCGAGCCTGCACTGACAGCACGCTTGCTGCGCACAAGATCTTTGGTCCGGATCTTTTAATTTCTCCATAAGACTGTCTAGCGGGTGTGGGAAGTGTTCTTATTACTTGTTTCCTGAGTTGGATTTTGCTGAATGAAGGATTTGATCTTTCTCACCTTGTTGAGCGTTGGAAAAAAAAACATACATTACATTACATTTTTCTTCTCCCGGTCCTTTACTGTAGGTTTTCAGGAAGGGCCTGTGTGGAATGGAACATCCCGAACTATTGAAAAAACATTTGGGGATGGGTCAAAACCCTATCCCCCTGGTGAACATCAAAATAGCTGGTAAATGGATGTTCATCCCCCAAAAAATGGTATGTATAGGTATTGATCCATAGCCATTTAAAAAACGGATGTTGCCTTGTACCCATTGCTTTTGGCTGCATCCAATGAGCTTCCAAAGCAAGCCTTGCAGAATCTTGTGTATCTCATGTCCGTTGAAGAATAGAAACACGCAGCGGAGGAATTCTCTGATGTTTATTCCAAAATAATGTTCATTTTCAGGAAAATCAAAATCATCGACATCGCTATCGCGCTATAACGAAAACCGCGAGTTTTCTTTGTGGTAGATGTGCTCAAAACCACACGGCCGTCTGGGCATCGGGAACCGTGCAGTAGACATTAGTAGACTGGGATAGTTCTCACCCCGAAAACGTCCCCAAAACAGTCAACGGCTCATCCTGAAAAACAACCAGGACAACACTTGACAACCCAACATCCAGTGAAATGACAATAATGGAAATGTAGCCAATGATTTTACAGGCTTCCAGACACCAAGTTTGGCACTTTGGGTTTTTTCCATAAAGTGGGGGGGTACCGTGGTGGTTCATCCGACCATCTATGTTTTTGTTGAAGGCATACCCCGTATTTTGCGGCGAGTTCTCTAGTGATTGGTTGGCTACACCTACATGTTTTTGAGACCCCAAATAGAAGCGAAGTACAACAACTTTTGATCGAATTATTGTGTATACATGCTTATGCATGTATATGTAGCATATAGGATACATGATACATGTGTATATATGTATATATATATATATACATATATATATATATATAGAGAATTCTGCAGTATTTTAGACCGGCTCCGGGGTTTTTAGCCCCAAGTGGGGGCTAAAATTCTTCAATAAAAATGGTGTCTGAGGTACAAACGCAACTAATGAACCTTTGCTTGACGTTCCTGGTATCCCAGAGTAGCGCTCATGAAACTCAGACCCCAGGTTTTCATCCTGCGAAAGAACTTCAACACTTCATTTTCATGAAACTCAGGCCCCTGGCTTTCATCCTGTGCAAGCACTTCATTATTTCATTTTCATGAAACTCAGGCCCCAGGTTTTCATCCTGTGCAAGAATGTCACCATTTAACTTTCATGAATCTCAGGCCCCAGGTTTTCATCCTGTGCAAGAATGTCACCATTTAATTTTCATGAACCTCAGTCTCGTGTTTTCAGCCCGTGCATGCACTTCACTGGTTACTTTTCATGAATCTCAGGCCCAGGTTTTCAGCCACTGTGAGCAATTTCTACCTTCATTTTCTCCTATCCCTTAACACCTAGGACTTCATCTCTTTCCACCGCTTCATTTACCAGAACAGCTCTCCAAGTTACACTGGGCATTTCCGCAAACCTGTCCTGAACCCATTCCCGAACACACAACAAAACCTGAGACCCCGAGATTTCATCTCACACATTCCTGTTTTGAACTCTGCCAGAACAGCTCTCCAAGTTAAAGCGCGCATTGCCGCAAATCTGTCCTAAACCAGTGTCCCAAGAAAAACACCACAAAACCCCAGACCCTTAAATTTCATCTCGCACATCCCTGTTTTGAACTCTGCCGGAACAGCTCTCCAAGTTAAAGCGCGCATTGCCGCAAATCTGTCCTAAACCAGCGTCCCAAGAAAAACACCACAAAACCCCAGACCCTTAAATTTCATCTCGCACATCCCTGTTTTGAACTCTGCCGGAACAGCTCTCCAAGTTACAGCGCGCATTGCCGCAAATCTGTCCTAAACCAATGTCCCAAGAAAAAACCCACAAAACCTCAGACCCCAAGATTTCATCTCACACATCCCTGTTTTGAACTCTGCCGGAACAAAGCTAAAACAGCAAGACCCGGAGAATAAAAACCTTTACTGAGGCAGGGGTTTATGCCGTGAGCACTGCAAGTTCCCGCAACCAAAATTATATGTGTAGATGAAAACCCTGTGAGCTGAAGTTCCCCCTGGATAGCTGCTGAGTTCTTTGGAAAAAATGTTTCTGGATAAAAACCAGTGACCCCAGCCTTTCACTGACTCTCATGTTGAAAATCCAACTTTGGATGAAACCCCTGAGCTTGACGTTTGGCAAAGCTCTTCCAAAATAAAAACACAAAAACTCTCATTGGATGAATACCGGTGCTTGAGCTTTTTTCATCAGATCCTTAAAACCCGTGTGTGACGTTTTTGGAGTACGGCCCACAGCCATCTGTGGGCTAAACCCAGGCGCTCCAGCCCTAGGTTTTTAGCCTTTGTGCAGCATCCTATATATATATGTATAATATAGTATACATCAAAGGTAGATGATCGATGATCTAAAATTCCAGATACATGTATGTACATATACAGCACACATACCGTACACACACAGACATATACAATCATATGCACATTTTTTTGGCGGGAGGAACAACCATTTGAAAACACACCCACAATACTGTCCATCCTGCCACCATCTGCGGCCTCAAGCGGGGAGCCGGTGGCACCTTGCACTTTGGAAAACCATCGGCCATGGGCAAAGCTGGGGGTGGATAATTACTTGGGATATATACCATGGCTATCCATGGCTCATCTCAGATGCTAATCACACAACATAATAGCTATACAAATACGACATGCATATACAATAACATCATCTTACCCCATTAGAATACAAAAACACCGTTGACCTACCCAACAAATATTGCTAAGGGTCTAACATGAGGATGCAAAAAAGATTCACCAACACAATTTGGGACTTCTTGTTCAGCATTAGTATACAATGGCAAAGCCCCAACCTGACCTTAACAGAATTTGAAGCATCCCACAGAGAAACATTGGTCGCGGTGGCTTTATCCACCACTCCCCAGAACAACTAGGAACATGTTAGTAAGGAATGAACGCAGAGTGAAAACAACTCTGCTGCAAAATCTGCCAGCATAATTTTGAAGGAGTGGTGGACTGGTCTGTTGTCTGGGGGTTCTATAGTTTCACAAAGTGCTGCCAAGACTGATGGTATGGCTCATTGAGGCTCTATGATAAATCATGATCTGCTTCATTTTTCTCTCAATTCTAATACCAAATAGTGTTGACAATGGCTTCTGCAATAAAAAATGACGCAGCCAACATTGCCAACAAAGGAGTGCTGCCGAAAACAGTGTACGATTCACACCATGGTTGACTCACTCGGATTCCTACCATCATTGAATCGAATTGTTTCCTTTTGGTTTTTCAAAGTTGTTACAAACATCAACCAAAAGGAGCCCTTTTGACTTTGGTAAATCATACTCCCGCTTTGATCCTGCCTCTCGTAGAAATTGGCCGTACTCCAGTCTCACGACCTGAGATTATCTCTGCAGACCCGTCCTCGATTTTCATCCGCCATCATTTTAGGACATCCTCATAGATCTCAGAGTCGCCATGTCACCATCACAACCACCAGCAATACCGCCACTTGGAGGTTTCCAATCCAATAGGCTACCCCTAAATCATCCAATTTTCCATTTAGGAAACCATCCAGCTATTGGGATCCTCATCATCATCGCCATCACCATTATCACCATCAACGTACCATGATATACTAATGATATATATTATATATATGTCAATTAATATAGTGTAGTCTGATAGTCTATGATATGTCACACGTCTTTTGTTTTCTGATATAGTGATAGTCAATAGTCTATGTCTAGACGATATCCTATACATAATATCCTTTTTAATGGAGATATCATCTATAATCACCATCTATCAACACATATTAGCGAGGCTATAATTATCAATTTTATAATACCTAGCACCATCCTAATATCAATGGATTGGTTGATGGCAAAATCTACGGGTTACCATGGTTTTTACATCATAAACCATTCCAATGATACTATCATAACTATCACGATAACATCAACATCAACTGTAGATTGATAACTATAGACATCGCATGTCCAATGATAAGCCATAGATGGTGATAGTGTTTACCAATGACACTGAAATGATCACCATCTATCAACATATACTAGGATATATGAGGTATGACTATCAATGTTATAATAACTATCACCATTCAATAACTATCCCATAACATTGATAGTCATACCTCATATAACATTGGATATGGGATATTATAGTTCTTGGATGGTGATAGTTATCCTAATATCCAATAACTATTGATATCCAATAACATCATATATCAATAATATACCATAATATCAGATCCTAATATGGCAGTGTGTCAAAACCTTGTACCCCTGGTGAACATCAAAATAGCTGGTAAGTGGATGTTCATCCCCCTAAAAATAGTATTAATAGGTATTGATCCATACCCATATCCAATAAGTATCACCATCTGCCACAACGAGACATGGCCCAAGTCGCCAGGGAGGACAACAATCCCACACTCGACAGGCTCTTCTGGCTCTCGCCCATCACGGCCAGCCCTTGCGCCTGGCAGGAAGGATGTGCACGGGGACGAAGCGTCCCAAAAAATGGAGAAAAAACATGTCAAAAAATATCTAAAAATGGAAAACATATATATTATATACATATATTTATATATATATATATTTATATATTTATATATATATTTATATATATATATTTTTTATATATATTTATATATGTTTATATATATTTATATATATATATGGAAGAATCAATAGGAATCAATAGGTTTGATATCTTTGGATCTCCAACAAGATGGACAATCAGAGGTTTTGATATGTTTAAGGATCCATCACCATATCAATGGATTGGGCCAAGGGAGAATTTGCAGGAAGGCATTGTCTTTTTTTCCCATCAAACCTGGGTTTCTGTGCTTTGCTTACTGGAAATTGCCCCCTTCAAAGAATTCTCGGACATTCTGGGACTAGATTCCCCATGTCTGATGGATTAACCAATGGGAAAACAAAAAAAGGAGATCCAGACTGATTCCACCAATCAGAATCTAAGAAGTCTGAAGGCTTGAGGGTTGGTGATGATGACCTGCGACGGGTGTCCCCTTCGATGCTATCACTTCTGGTCAATCCCTCAAGTTGCATGTTACGTGACATGTTGACATCTCACTGCCCCCATTCTCATACCCATGTCCAGATGTCCAGGCATGGCATCTGGAAGATAGTGGAACAAGCAATCTTTGGGATCATTCCCCTAGTCCCTAGCCTCTGGTAAACATACAAAAAGCTATTGAAAATGGCCATGTATAGTAGATTTTCCCATGAAAAAAATGGTGATTTTCCATAGTTCTGTTAGTTTACCAGAGGGTACCATGCATTGTGGAGTTGACCAGTGGATGACTCTGGATTTCACAGAAAAATTAGGGATTCAACTTGATATGACCAGCAGCTGGTACTCTGGTACTGAAACTCTGTGGGTTTGATGAACCTTTTCTGGTGGATGATCCAACCAATCGGGGTGGCAGGGATAGGGCCCACTTTTTTGGGGATCAGTCCAGGGAAAGCCCACTTTTTTCAGCTGGCAAATCCATTCAAATCCACCCCAACGAATTATTCAAACTGCTTTAATCTTGTTTGCACCACCAGCCGATTTGCCTTACAGTTCTGAATTGGCACAATGCTCTCATCTGCCCGTCTGCAATACTTAGTAAGCAGTTCGTTGCGTCAGTTTGATCAATGTTTGATACATGTATATATATATTATATATATATAATTATATATTGTATATATTGTATATATTGTATATATATATTATTTATATTATATATATATATATACACGGTCCAGTCACACAAGCTGGATATATGAAACACCCAACATCAACGGACTAGCACTCATCTTCTCAAAGGTCTCAAAGGCAAAATCGCATAAGTGGTCTACCTCGAATGAATCGTTGATGTCTTTCTCCATAATTTTGCCGGCCTCACGGACACCCCACGATCACTTGCAGGGACAAAAGGGTTGATGAATTTTGCTTCAAGCACTTTCTGCCGCTCCTTATACAGACTTTATCATACTCATAATTACTCATATTCTTTTGTATGCTTTTCTTTGTTTATTTGGCCTTTGTGTAACCAAATTGCACCATTACAAAATCAAATCTACAACATCTTTGATGAAGAAAACAGCTGGGGTCAAACTCGCAAGACTTTCATTGTCTGCATCTGCAGAGCCCATTGGATCACGAGGCTCACGAGGTTCTGATCATTTTAAACAAATATAAACCTGATTGTAAAATGTGTTTACACCACATGTTTAAACATATATAAACCAGGAGTGTAAAACCATGGTTAGCATTGGTTCACATTGCTTGAGGGCAGGAGTGAAGGATGGAGTTTGTGACAGTGTCAAAGCTATGTAACCTATGTAAATCACATCACTGATCTATGGATGTTTGAAATTCTGAATAGTAATTCCTCTCATCCATTGTCACCAATTCAATTACAGCATACAGTATACAGAACATCAAATAACGTCAGAGAACATGTGGTGTTTACCCAAGGCATTGGTTAATTATGGTTAATTGGTTAATAGTAATCATCTAATGTGGCAGTTTGTTGGCAATAATCACGAACAATTGGAGGTTTCTAATCCATGGGAGTACCCCCAAATCATGACTTTGCTATTGAAAAGTCATAGGTGACTTGGGGATCCATGACCTAAGAAACCCACACTTGGCCAATTTACCCATTCAACTGGCAGCTTCCAAGGCTTGCGGACTCGATGTATCTCCGCAATCGAGTTGCGTCGCGAGACCTCGGATGGGAACCAGCGTGAACCAGCCATACCACAAAAACCTGGCTCCCAAATGAATCGTTTTAGATGGAAAACTGATGATTTTTTTTCACCATATTCCACCACAAAGATGTAGAACAAGCTTTACCAAACGCTACTGTAATGTGGAAAAATGATGGGTTTCATTAAGTCTGGCAATCACCCATATTAGTGACTAGTGGAACCAATTAGATTTACCGGTAAAAACTTAGGTATGGGAAATATAGCAAATCCCAGGGTTTCAGCGACACCTGGCAATGCTCCGTCAAGTTCAGCAGAAATTCCTCCAACCCCGCTGACCTCAATGGGAAAATCAATGGCGGCCTAAACGGAGATGTTTTTTGGCTGGGAAAATCATCGACCTATTGCTGGTGGATTTTCCAGCATGTGACTGATTGCCTGAGGCTATACAGAAACTTTGCTTTTTCGTGGATGTCCAATGAATTGGGCTACAAGAAATGATTATGACCATGAAATTCTCTTGATCCTACTATATATTATATAAACAAACGTGACCTATCGTGACCTAAATCTATCCAAATCATCCAAAAACACACCTTGTTCAGGTGGAAGGCCACCAGTTAATCTTGAGATGGATCAAAAAGTGTTTGGATTCTGAGTTGCACAGATGGACTATTCCTGCAAGCCATGGGAAGAATCGGACCATTTGTGACCATGACACATCCAAATGAGTCCTGTGATGAAGATCTAAAGCATACAACAACCAAGATGTGGGAAGAGCTTGATGAGCCCAAATTTGCACACAAGGTGCAACATATCTGCGTCAAATGACCAGCCATCAATTGATTTTATCCGATCCTTCGGTCATTGACAAGGACGCAGTAACCCAACGCAAAGGATCTGCGTCCAAGGGATAAATTCACATCAACCCTCCCGTGGGTAGCCTCAAACCCGGATAATACCTCAACTTCCAGGAATGTTCACACATTTTTAAGGGGGTTGATAGATGTTTTCATAAAACACAGCAGAGAAGTGAATCTTTGGCGTCCAGGTGAAATGGAAGATCCATTTCATGTCTGAAACCACCAAGCCGCGACAACATCCACGATTTTGCTTTGAGTTTTTTGGTTTTCTTGTGAGTCATATCATAATTAACATACATGTAATGTGGTAAATCCTACAATAAACCAGTTCCCTGAGTATGGCGTTTGATACTACCCAAATTGATCCCAAATAGCAAAAGTCTGAATGATACTAAACGATAGCCAAATTTATAACTCCCCCAATAATCCCATCCAAAATATCGTTGAGATCACCATTGGTGATACTAGCCATGGATTATATGATGATATAGCATGATATAGCCAATAATCAATCCATCAATCCCAACCTCAAGATCATGTTCTCAATGGATATTCCCAACATTTCCCAACAAAAACATCTCCATGATGTCCCCATAGCCCCACGATGCCCATCGTCCCCCAGTTCCACTGGCTGTTCCAACTGCTCCGTGTCATCACCAACGCCGAAGTGCAGCCGGGCCCTGGATCCGAACCGCATCATACAGATCACATAACCCGAGGTAATAGCAATGTTGTACGTTATATATATATATATATATATTGCTATTATATATATATATTGTTATTATATAGATATAATACACGATTATTGAGAAACTGTAGAATATACCTCGGGTAAATTTCATGAACATCAAGAAGAAGCAAAGGGCTAAGACAGTCTATTTTGCTTCAATAGTCATACAATATTTCACCTATATCATCCTATATCATTCTTGTGCTACTGGTGGGAAGATACTCATTTTCAAGGAGTATCCAATACAGGGTTCTCTCCGAATTTCAAACTCCCAGATTTTCCATTGAATCGGCATATTTTACTTTGGAATTGCAATATGGGTACCCTCCCTTTCAGACACACCCAGTATGAAACTGATAAATTCTAACCATGGCCAACCAAAAAAATTGGCGGCAACAAATAGTCTTGAGCTGGCTAGTGATTTTCCCATCCAAAGAATCCAAGCTTTGCTCGGCCTTGTCAACTAGATTTGGGTCCAAAAGATGTTGGGGAAACCCGCCAATTTGAGTCAATTTATCATCACGTTCCAATAAATCAAATACCATTGATTGGGGTGAAATATCATCAAATATCCCATGTTCCAGAAAAAAAAAAAACATTTTGTAGGCACCTACTTAACATTCACCGACACCCATCAGCTTCGTCCTCTCAATGTGAATGGGCATTGAGGGAAGTTCGGATTTTCCTCCAGGCGATGGCCACAAAAGAGACCATCATCATCATCACCATCATCATCATCATCATCAGGGCATGGCTCAAAGATGCTCAACATTTGTTAACCCTATTTAGATCCAAGAAGTAGATGTTTGAATACGAAACATCACAAACAAACCATGGCAGTATCCATTTGTGTGTTTGATGGCACATTATTGGGCATAATTGTATCCATTTTTGGGCATAATAAACCATGGCACAAAAATTGATAACAAACAAACCATTTGTATGGATACCATACATTGGTATACCATGAATGAGCCATGGGCATTTTGCCCCAAAAACCATTCCCCCACCTGCGCGCAAATACGCGTCGAGGAATTCTGCTTGATATCGCAAAACAGCTGCCGTTTTGAGGGGAACTAAATCTTCACAAGAGGTGGCTCATGATTCTTGCATGTATATAATATATATATATCCGTATAATCTGTATGCTTGTACTATACATTGTAATGTTTTGTATTCAGTGAGTGAATGGACCCATGTGTGGGACAAACATATTAAGCCAAGCTTAATATACTACAACTATGGTGTAGTGGACAAATATTGGAATTCGCACAAACAAATACAGTCACCGACAGAATTATGGTGAGGAACAACATCCTCGTCTATGCATTCACCGGTGCTGAAACATATGAAATTGCATTGGAGTCAATTGGTGTCCATCATCCCAAATGACGAGGGACAAAAACACGATATTCACATATTGACACGTATTAATTTTGTTCTTTTAGTGACAAAACATCATTCGATCATGATAGCAAATGTCGCCACATGTCGCAACAATGCTGCGCACAAGCAATCATCGATGGTACCGGAATGATGTCAGGGTTGTGTAGACAACTGAGTTATTGATGGAAAGATAATCATTTTTCATTTTTTTTCATTTCAATGCGTGTAAAGGTCTGTGCCTTTGCTGCAATGCAAAATGAAATAAATATAGATAGTTAGGACAGGCAAGGTAAGATAGGATCAGAAAAGACATGATAAGGTAGTAAAGATAAGGTAAGATCAGACAAGATAAAGTAAAATATGATGGAATAAGATAAAACAAGATAAAGAACATAGACAAGATGGAAAGAAAGCAAAACATCAGATAGATAAAGATATCTATAGATTAGAAAGATTAGAAAGATTAGATTAGATAGATCAGACAGATGCACACATTAATATGTAGACACATGGATGGATGGACGGAAGGACGGATGGACAGATGGACAGACGGATCAGCTAGATAACCCGTATTAGATAAGAGAGATACAATAGATAAGATATATAAGCGGAAGGTAGATAAGATAGATACAATCCATATGAAAGATAGATCAGATAAGAATAGATAAGATATATTCTACACATGACAGCATTTCATGAGCACACATTATCCTGATAGCATATTCTGCTGACTGATCCCGGCTTCCTTTTCTTTGGAGGTGGCATCTTGATACGTCTCAGCACCGAAGTGCACTACAACTATCGGAAGCAGTGGGATGCTGATGATCTAGGAAGCTTCAGTCTTCATGTGTTTGATTTGTCTATAGATAAAAAAAATAAAAAGGAGACATACCCTAAGGCATGGCAATTAGTTAATGTGTAATATGATTCTTTCTTCCATTGGCTTTCGCCGTACCCCATTTTTGAACAAAGGGTTGGTTCCAAGAGTTCGGCAAGACCATATCCGCATAATATCATCATCCTCATCATCCTCATCATCCTCATTGTATGTATTAATGTATATTTAATTATATGTGTGTGTTACATATAATAATATACATATATATATATAATGTACGAGTATGTATGCAAAACATACGTATATCTACTTGTATATAGAAATACCAATAATTACAATACATAGATGATCCGTGTATTTGCCCCATAGATGGCATCCCCTGGGGTTTCCTCCTGCCGATCTTCCTGCTACCCCTGCCCAACTCATTTTGGCAGGCACGGGCTTCGCAAGGCTATGACGGATCACCGCATGGATCTGCTGGTTGAGTGTGGAATCTACGCAGCAAATTGACGAGGACTGACTTATCGAAAAAAGGCGCAAATGGAAAATGAAGGTACCTCACATCTGGTAAGGAATATATATATATAACCATGATTAATCATATATTTATACAAGATACTTCAATTCCTGACCTCAGGCAATCTCTTTCCTCCAATCGCAGCATCCAGGGTCTTGGGGTCTTCCCCTAGAGCTGAACACCCACCCAGCCGCTCCACATGGGTCCCTCTTCAGTCTTGTCGTTCTGAGTCAGCAGGCAGCATAGGAGAGCCCCTAAGAAGAAGCTCAACATGGATCGAAAGTCCTGGAAGATGGAAAGACACCGTACTGCAATAATCTGCAATATACACCAAGCATAAAATATGAAAGAACAGATGAAACATGATTCGACCAAGATATTCTTTTACTCCTGAGTCATGACGCAAAAAATGGCCTAGGAACTTTGACGGCTGTCTATTTCTGGGTTCTTCTGCACCCTCCAGTACCAAGACAAACTGGACTAATGTGGTTAAAACAATGCCATAAACCATCCCCCAGTCATCACCATTTTTATAGGTGGTATGTTTACCATTCCCAGTCATGGCTAGTTTATGACATTGTTTTATATAACCAGTTTTGGCTTGAAATCGCTCAAGAGCTTTGGGATTTCCCACCACAGTTGGACTTCCCGACCGGATCAACGGCTGCCCTGTCCAAACCTGCCACATTTCACAGGAGGTGTAGCCCTGTCCCGCCTCAGCACAGCTAGAACAGCACCTTGAAACGCTTGGATTTTCAACATCGATATATACTTGAAACAGAGGGTATGTCATTGATTCATAGTCAATATCGCATCTTTGTTGGCTTTGTCCTCAGTTTGTTTGTTCCTCGTTTCCGCGAGTAATTATACTTCCATATAATTGCAGATTTCACATCCAGACTATTTGGAGTCAGGTCAGGTTGGGGGTTAGCTTCTATTCAACCAGCACAAAGTGGTCCTTGAACAAAGAACAAAACCAAACCAAATTGGAAGTAGACGGATGTACTGTATATATATATGTATATATATGTATATATATATATATATGTATATCTATAATTATATATATGCATATTATTATGGAATGGAAACTCGCAAAAGACATCAGTAGAACATTCCCTGTAGTTGGATGGTCAAACAAGATTCATGCCTGTTTGATTCATACCTTCACAGTCCGGCATCATGTGAAACAACAAACCATACTCCGCACTTGGGGATATGGAGGTTTCCTAACATGCTACCCCCAAATCATCCAAGTCATGGATGACCATCTATACCATCTTAATGAGTATTGAAAACTATGGTTTTTCATGGGGATTCCCGATGTTGGAACCCCATGTCCCAACAACGGAATCCACTGAGCAATCTGCGGGACAGCAGTTGCTGGAGCGAACCAAGAAGCCAAGGCAATGCAGCACACCTGGTGATTCGGCAAATTTCAGGGTTTCCAATAGTTTTGACATGTTCTGACGATATGAAAAACTAAAGGCTGTTAGATATGGGATTATAAAAAATATCAAACAAAGCAACAAACATAACTGGGGTACGGTGGTATTCTGGATCTGGGATGATCTGGACATCTGAGAGTTCCAAGTGTTGCTAAACTGGAAATCAAGCGTGTCTTTGGGATCTCGGTTAGGAAACTCAACTTGTAGCTTCAACTGGCTCATTGAAAATAGGGAATATATGGGAATATGAAATAAGATGAAATAAGCACCAGCTCCGAACCTCTGCCTCCTAACCACTGGATAGTGATTCCTTCTATTTCTTTCTGCCTAGACATGCCGCAGCGAAGACGGAGGCCAAGAAGCAATGCCTCCGCTGAGAGGCGGCTGGCTTTGTCTCCAAAGATGGGTGGGTCTGGGGAATCTACCAGAAAAAACGGTGGAATTAACGACAAAAAATGGTAGTCTAAGATCTAAGGTGTATACAGTACATATATTATAAATATTCAACCCTATGATAGATGGGTTTGACTGAAATGAGAAATATCCCGACTTCATCGTGAGCACATGATAGAACATGAGGATTTTAGGGCAGCTGTTTTCAGACAAAGCCATAGGCATTCAAACACCAGACATGAGGATGATAGCCGACAAGCACACTGGGCATTCCTATAGCCAAATGTGACGCTTGAATCTGCTTCAAAATATAACTTATCGGATAAGTGCGAGCCAAAACAACCAATCAACAGCCAGAGAGTGAGTGTTACAATAGCTTATAAATCATCAAAATGTTGAAGTTTGTCCAAAAAATTGGCAGATGTGTGATCCTATATCATGGAAACAGTCAAGTTCTTGTGGCAAAATGAGGGTCGCAATACCCCCAAAACAACAAAATGGAAAGTCCTCACAAAAGATATCAAAATATATCAAAATACCATCCACCATCATTGGATTTCCTGATGTTGCCCTACATCCTACAGGGTGGAGCCCCATAGTTCACTTATACCTCCAATTTCACTAGGGTTGATTATTAATTATGGGGATTCTCCCTAATCTTCCTATAGTTGAAGGGGATTATAAACCAACAAACATAACTGAGGGGGCGTCACCCTGCACCAAATCATCTTGAGCTTCGTCCTAGGTTGCCCGGCAGAAGCACATGCCCCGGATCCGACGTAGACCGAGAGGCACCCCCTTTGCCAGCGGAAGTCTGGGTCCGAAAATCCAGTTGAATCGGATAAACATGAATAACCCCAGTTACACACATTCATATAATGATATATAATAATATATATATATAATAATATATATAATAATATATATAATAATATATATAATAATATATATAATAATATGTATAATAATATATATTATATATACATACATACACACACACACACTTTGTATATACTGTGTATATATATATTATACGAATTCTTAACCACTTACTGAGTGGGATGAAAATCCAAGCAATCAGTGGATGGGTAGAAGCGACATTTTACAGGAACCCATGTCTTGCTTTGTCCCATGGTTTCTCTTTGCACAATTTGAGGGTTTCCTGCAACATTTCGTCCAATTCAGGAGACATTGACCAAACAAACGGGGATTCCACCTGCTGAACCTGGCAATATCTGGCAACCTTACCTTACCAACATGTCCTGCGTGTAAATAACAGGAATATGCTGATTGGTTAACTTTAAAATCAAAGTGAGAATGGGCACATGATAAGCAATTCAACATGGCCGCAAATGTATATTCGACTATACTATTATGCACAGGAGAAAGGGCTGCAAATCTTGTTAACCATGCAAGTGGATATACCACCACTTGAACTTGTGCCCTGATCGAAAGACATCAGAAAATGTCATTAAACATAAACAGTAGCCAAACACAAAGATGGATATACAATGCCCGACAACCCAACATATATTAGCGTGTATGCACTTATGCAAAAAAAGCAGAAAGGGACGCTTCTGATGAAGAATAAATTCAACAAATTGGGATTCATAGGGCATTTTCAATCACAATACTTTTTTTTTTAAAAAATGAGGTATACCCTCTGGTAATTTAACATAGCTATTGAAAATTGCCATTTATAGTTGATTTTCCCATTAAAAATTGTGATTTTCCATAGCTATGTTAGTTTACCAGAGGGTATCGCTGCTAGAAATCCATCATGAATCGCATTGGTGTCTCAAGGTCGATAACGCTTCCGTTTCACTGCTGTGACTCTATGTGGCGAATCTCTAAGATACCCCGCACGGGAAAAATAGCTGGGTACTGATATAATGATATTTATCTATGTACATATACCTACACAATATGTTCATAGAATAACTATGCTCATATTGGTAATAATCACAATAATAATAACAATAATATAATAATGTTACATCGACAATAGTAAAGGGGGGTAAGGGGGGTCCCCCCTATTTTTTTTTGGGGGGGGTCTGCTTTGCAATAGTAAATCGAAAATCCCAACTCTTCCCCAAGGCTTCTATAAGGTTTTGACAAATCCTCTCTTTTCTGATAGGCTCTGATGGGATCTTCATTGGATTCTGATTGAGAATCTCTGATTTCTGATAGGCTCTGATGGGATCTTCATTGGATTCTGATTGAGAACCTCTGTTTTCTGATAGGCTTTGGTGAGAATCACAATTAAAAACCATTCAACCACAATTAAAAACACTAAGGAAGAAGGGAAAAAAATCAGCTAGAGCCAGAAAGGTTGTTTTGTATTGCAAGAGTTAATTCCAATTTTTTATTGCAAATGCAAGGACCTGCAAGGGGGTACCCTTTGTGAACCTGTTTTTTGCAATTTTTGTAAAGGATTTTAATAAAGAAAACAGCTCTTTTGAACAAGGTAAAATTTTTGATTTGGCAAAGGTTTGCTTTGTTTTTTGCTTTTGAAAAGCATGCAATCACAATATAAATCCATTCAACCACAATTAAAAACACTAAGGAAGGAGGGAAAAAATCAGCTGAGCTGCAACTGGTTCTGAGCTTTTTTCCTGCATCCATACTAAATCTCAATTAGCCCTTGTACAATTTAGTATTGGAAAATCTAATAATATTTGGGAATTTTCTGAAAATTATTTGCGGCTATTGCGAATGCAGCACAATTATTGCAAATACTCTGGACCAAGATTGATGTCTGTAATTTAAAATCAATAAGGCCTAATTTAAAATCAATAGGGGCTGAAAAATCAGATTTTGAAAATTATTTGTAGCCATTGCACGCGCTTTACTATTGTCCATCCAACATTAATATATATATATATTTGTATGTACAGGTGTATATACATATAATTATAATCGTGTATATATATATATGTCTGTCTATAAGTATATATCACTGTCACATACTGTCACCATCTATGAAATCCATGGCAAGACATTTTCCACCACCCGGCAAGAAACGGACTCCCGGCCTCTTCTTATGGAGCGATCGAACATGGCTCGATGGGGTCAAGAGCCGGTATTTCTTTTGGGAATGTGGCGTGGATAGCCCTTGAGCCAAATCAGACCCATCGCGTCCGTGACTTGGACGATGTTGCCATGCTGGAAACACTGGAGACCTGACTAGGGATTCCTCATATATCTTTCTATTGGGATACATTGGGTATTTGAAAGCAGATTTTATGGCACATTCGATTTGCAGATCTAGGCCTCAAGATTTGAGACCATTTATGGCACAAATGGACTGGTGACTGGTGGTGTCTACTATCTGATGGGATACAGGAGCTGATTGCCTAGTGCATCAACTTCCCATCCTCTAGTTCTTTGGGCAAAGAAGCCAGGAAGCCAGATGCTGGTGAATCATAAACCTTGGATTGGCTGCAACACGTATTTCTTTGACAGGATATTATTCACATTTAGAAAAGGATCTGGGTGATATTCACACCAATCATTCCCATGAACATCTCTTCATGTCAGCCTTGAGTCACGACGATTCTACACCTTCAAAATCCTTCAAATCTTGTTTTTTAAAAGAGGACTCATCTGGGGAAACTGATAATCCTTCAGATTTCTGCAATATCATATTTCTTGATCATAATAATGGCCCTAGATATCGTTTGAAACATAAGAATAATCTAAATCGATCCGTTTTTTTTCATAGAGGACTCATTCATTCACCTGGAATATCTAGGGCCATTTCTGCTCCGTTGTCCTTATAAAGCTATCCTTGGCTGACCTTGGTGACCACTTCGTAAGTACGAGATATGACGTCCAGCTAAATGGAATACTCCTCCAAGTTAATTCTATTGGGTAGATCATCCCACTTCTAACTGTGGTAGATGATCCATTATAGTTATCCTCTGGTTATTTAACATAGCCATGGAAAATCACCATTTTTAATAGGTAAACCATCTATAAATGGACCATTTTCCATAGCTATGTTAAATAACCAGAGCGTACCACAAAAAAACAATATCCCTTTAAACTCCGTTAAATGGTATGGTAGATAGTAATCATGGTCATAGTCATTCCAGACTGGACCAGACTTACAGAATTCTACTGCACCATTGGTCCCCTTCGTGCTCAGAAGTATGGTTTACCGCCAGGATTTAAATCTTTAGGTCCTATTCTTGAAGTACCCTCTGGCAAACTAACATACCGTAACATACCTATGGAACATCACCATGTTTAAATATGTTTAATGGGTGGTTATCAACTATTTCGACTGGGCCATGTTCAATAGCTATGTAACAAATTACCAGAGGGTACCTCCCCAAAGATTTTCGAATAATTTTTCGAGTTCCATAGATCCCTTTTTGGGCACCTTTTTTCACCGCTCGCCAAGGCAGGTCGAAGTTTCGAAAACGGCCAGCGCTCGCCGACATGGCGACTCTGTTCCAAAATGCACCCAGTAGACTGTTGACACCAGAGTTTCAATATGTTCCAATGGATGAGCCACCCATCTCAAAGATCTCAAAGTATGAACCATTTCAAATCTGGTCCAAACTTAGGACACAATTCCTAGAGAATATCCACCAACATCCACCAACTGCTTTCCATTCTTCGCTGCTGGCCTCATTTTTCGGTGCTAAACCAGGCTCTCAGACCTGCATGGCCTTGTCGACTTGCTGTTGCGCCTCAGAGGACTGCAGACCTCCCATGTTTTGGAAGAAGGAACCATCCATTGATGATTTAAGGGCAGTTTGGAATGTTTGGATCTTGATCAATACGACTTATACGGCGCAAAAAACCGTCTCTTATACATATTCCGGATCATATTCCAAAAATGTTCCATGTAAATATGGTATACTCGTCTACATTTGGGCCCAGTTTTGGATGGTTTGGGGGTAAATATTGGCAACTACACCCTACATGGAGCATATATTGGGCTTGGATAAAAATGGGCTATACAAAACTGACAGATTTCTCCTGGATGATTGCAGTAGTTTCTTCATTAAACATGACCAACAACTTGATGTATATTATATACAATTTGGATATTTGGATTAATTTGGATGATGTTGGTGCCCTCCCTTTGTGGTGGAACTGCCAATACGAAAAATGCGTTCAAAACCTCTGTCATTCTATTGTACTCGTTGGTCAATGGGATTCCCAGTTCATGGATGATGATATTCCCAAAATATTAGGGTAGCTTAACCCTTGCACTAATGATCCACCGACCATCATTCACCAGTTTTAGCACCAAACTTTTGATCGTTGCTAATCCTATAAATGATTAAATTCCTCGAACCAATCACAAACCAACCATCATTTATGATATTCCCATAGTTTTGATGATGAACAAAATCCTATAGGTGATGGTGAAATTCGGGAATTAAACACCTAACCAACATTAGCTAAGATGAACTCATCATGAAAAACCACCATGTTTGTTGGTTCAATCACCATCTTTGCTGTTTTTGAAACCATTTAGTGCCATTTAGGTTGGTTAAATCACCACTGGGATCGGAAAACCACCACCTCATTTTCCATCTCAGGTGCCCTCTGTCTCTCCAGTTCCATCTCGTAGCGCCTAAAGAGTCACTGTCAATGGGATCTCTGGAAACGGGCTGCCTCAAACAAAAACCAACAGCTTGAGTCCATATATTATATATACATATATATATATATATATGCATGAATATGTATATAACATTATATAACTATATTTGAGCTATTGCTACTCTCTCTCTATATATACACACCTTGACACTTGATATAATACAATGATATATAATCATATCCTATATACATACAAAAAATATGGATAAGAAGTATATACCTCTTTACAGGCCTTAACTTTAATCTTGACACTTGAAGCATACTGGCGCAACTTTTGCGCACGCCCCTTTGGACTCCGCACGCAGAGGTGTCCTGAGCGCTGTTGCCCACTGAAACGAAGGAGAAGAACACCTCAGGCTCGATCCGGCCCCAATGAAGAAGGCTTTCCGTCTGGGATTTGGGTGGAAACACTTCGTTTTTCAGTCTGACATAAGCAACAAAACTGGGGGTGTAAAGTGTAAACCAACAATAACATACAATAACAGGGATACAATGAGTAAACATTGTATAACTGTATAACCATCTTTTTGAGTTGGGAAACCCAATTCGCAGTTACCTTGGCCTCTTTTTATTTCTATTGGGGAGGCGAAGCTCCTTGGCTTCACTTCTGGTCCTCCCCACTCTGCTTGGCAAAATAAACCAATCTGCGAAATGACAAACCAGCAACACATTGAAAACCCATATTCCCACCAGGTGTATGGCTCTGAAGTTGGTAACCCACAGTCATGGATGCGACTGTCCTTTCGCAGTCAATCGGTGGATCCAAGCTGGCTAAACCGTTTTGACCATGTTTGATCCACTAGTCATCCCATATCATTCAAAGGTACTACTGTACCCACCCTTTATATAGCTGGATATACCCCATGATTCTTGGTGAATCGGTGAATATGCATGCGTTTTCTTGATTTATAATGTGATCAGCCCAATACTCTCGTCCCCCGCAAATGGTAAGCACCCACCAGAAACCGCGGTTCAGTGCTGCATCTATTCATTTTGGTGGTGAATCTGTGGGAATTCTTGGCATTTCCAACATTAGATACCACTACCATGCCAAAAAAAACTGGTTGATATGTCATTATACCATATCCCCATTGATGGCAAAAGGTGGAATTCTTTGTTGAAAAAAACGCACCCTGAATTGGATATGGAACCCAAAATTCGGGTTCGGAAAACGCGTTTCCTTTTAATCATGGCCAGTTTGGGGTTCCATGTTAAGTGGTGCCGTGGATTAAAAGAACACATCAACAGAAATTGCAACCACCACCAGTGCCATCCAGCCCGATTTGCAGATCAGACACCATGGTTCCGGCCAGTGGGATACAAAGTCCCAGGGCCAGGCCCAACTTGTTCTTCTGGGGCACCATCCTACAGATTTTAAGCGGTGAAAAAGTCTGAGCCACCAGAGGAGGTGGAAACTTCTACACGGGTTTTCCAATATTTTCTTACCATGGTTTATTCAAGGGGTTCCACTAATTCATTTGGACACCGAGGAGGAATTGAGCCACAAAATTGGGGGACTTTGGACCCAAAAAGCACAAACTTGAATTTGGATCACTGCAAGAGGGTACTGGATATCATCAATCATAAATAACATTGAATAACTCTAGATAGCTTTGAAGTTCGGACGTGCGAAATGGTAATACTGTATATACGGGAAGGCAACCCCCCTTGCAACAAGTAGAAACTGACATGACTGGACATCTAATTTTTACGTGCCATGGTCCAGGTCTACAGTATAGGTTTATAGTCATCCGGTCATCAAACCCTGGGAATCTCTATAATGGGAATGGACATGTTTGACGATCCCCTATGGAAAAATCAGCCACAAAAAGTGACATGTTTTGACGGTACATTTGCAGATCATGGATATCCCCAAGATTTCCCAGGGCCAGCCCAGGCGATCACCGCTAAGCTGGTCGCTGCTGGTATGCAGCGGAAAAGAACTTGGAGACACTGGACCTTCCGGGCCGTATCACGCTGGAAATGTGGGTAAGACATGGTAAGACATGGTAAGACATGGTAAGACATGGTAAGACATGGTAAGACATGGTAAGACATGGTAAGACATGGTAAGACATGGTAAGACATGGTAAGACTCAAGCATGGATGATTGAGAAAGGAACGGAAACCCGTTTTTGTGTTTATTGGACTGTATTTGGGGAACAGCAAGAACCCTGAATAGTTTCAAACCAGTCAGAAGACGATTGGTAACAGTGGACAGAAGACTTCCACTATGGAAATAGGAACCGCAAGTATCTGCAAAACAATCAGGGTTCCGGAAAGAACATTGCACACACATTTACAGTAAGGACAGAGACAGTAACTTCACATTTTCTGCGATACTGTACCATGATTTCACAGGAGATCAAAGTGGTTGAGTTGATGCCAATCATCACCAATCGATGTCAGCGAAACGTAGGCTGTTCCGCTGCCATCTTGCAAGTAATTGTCCATCCATTCCATTACCATGCCTTTCAACTTAGACCCTGGTCAACTAATGGTCAATGACATTTAATAAATTGTTATCAATCAACCAATGTATATATATATTGTATATATATATATATATATATATTGTATATATATATTGTATATATATATATTGTATATATATATATATTGTATATATATATATGTATATATTGTATATATATATATGTATATATTATATATATATATTGTATATATGTCCCAATTATGGATTATTAACTACTGTTTAGTATGTCCACAAAAATCCCATAGGCCTACGGCATCCCCAGGCATCCAGACATCTTCGAAGGCGGCTTCTTGGTTACTCTCAGCGTGGTCCGCATGGGTGGTGGAAAGGACTGGCAGTGCAACGTGCAACTCTGGGACACTTAACATTCACAAAAATTGAAAAACTCCCGTGGGTGGTTGAGCCCAAACCTTGACACAGAATGGATAAGTATGATATAGGTTTTTTCCAAGCGAAGCAAACGAAAGCAGTTGTCCAAAATTAGATTCAATTGCAAAATTAATAGAATTACGAACAATTATATTGAAACACCCTCCGGACAATATCTTATATACATATTTTGTACACATAACATCACATATCATATTCTTTCATCACACATTTATGATTTTGAAAACGGACTTGGCAAGGTCAATTTTGATCTAAACCTGCGAGACCCCAAGTGAAGAGGACTTCAGAAGACTTATGTCAAAACATCTAGCGCGAAAGCACCGCCAACCAGGAAATTCACTACGTGTATGCAGTGACTGCGCTTCGAAACGTGATTTAAAACAAACGTACCTGAATTCTCATATGTTTTCCTGATGTAAGATTTCTGCTATATCGACAAGAGAATACATTCTGGAAGCTAGTAATGAAAGTAGATCGGCTGCCAGTTGCCAAATACACATGTTTAGATTGGTTCGGCCCCATGAAGGGTATCCAGAAACACAAGGACCGCTTCCCTTCAACAAGACAAAATACAATAATTATTATATATATAATATATAATATGGTGATATGTATATTATACGTATAGTTGTGTAATTTATGTATTGTAATGTTACTATGTATAAATACATCTATGTATACATACCGAGGTATCATCACCACGTACCAAGCCACCACCAACATCAACCCTTCCCATTTCGGAAAGGCCACTGGGCCACCTCCATCTCCCTGTGATAAATGAAATGCTCTCCGATGTAGCCCGCATTGGCTGCAACGCGGTGTGCCTCACGGCTGAGTTGTCGCCCAGATTAGTAATTACCATTGAGTACCACAGAGGATTTTAGAATTTCAATTTAAGCTTATTGAATCTGAACCAGCTGGTAAAATATGTAAAATGTATCTTTTTCCATTTTTTTTGGATCATGTTTTCAACATAATCTACCACTTGGTCCCTAAAACTCACCAGCTTTTCTCACCTTGAAGTTCTGCTTCCAGGAAGAACTCATGGGAAAAAAGGCCGGTTCCGTCCGTCGGATGGTTGGTTGTGCTGACAACAGAGTGGCGTAGAATGGCTGCAGCTATTTCGCATCAAACATGAAGGACTCATTGATGCAGGTTGAAGAAATGATGTATGATGCGTTCCCATGGAATGTTGTAAGTCCATATGTTAGGTCTCCAGCTTATCAGGGTACTTGATGTTTCAGGATAGGGACCCATCGCCAGTGACTTGTGGCAAAACATGGCAAAACTATGGGACGATTCACTGCTTTCAGTGTGGCTGCGGCCGAGGCATTGAGGGAAAATGGATGAAACTCTTGGGATATTGTGGGATCCCCCAAAGTCTCGGTTTTTTGTTGCATCTTTTGTTTACTGGATTTTATGAGTCAGTCTTTTCAAGAATCTCTATCAAGATCAAATAGTATATGAGTGTGGAAACACTTCAGATTTGTGGCCTCTGCTTGTGCAGAAAGATTGCCATTTTTGACTCCACTTGCTGAAAGTTCGACTTTCAGTCGGATCCACGATTGAAGAGTGTGGTCTGTGCAAAGCACTTGTTGGGTGTGGCAGGTTTGGGTCCTCAGAGCCTCAGATTCAGTAAAACTGAAATCTGGATGTTGATCATGTCACCCTTGGTATCCCTTTGAGGCCTCAAACATGTGGCCATGTGGACCATGTGAAAACGGGACACTTCAAATTCTCTGGATCCGATCATGGCTATAGCCCATGGACTAGACTTAGCATCGGTTTTGAATGAGAGTTCACTCATGAATACCCTACCAACTATGATCCCCACTACAAAGATCTACAAAGTATTTAATTACAAAGGTTTGCACCCCCACCCGTTAAAGGGAGGAATGTAATTACCCCATTTTGACAGGTACAAAACAAAGTGCACCTGATTTTGAAGTACAAATAGGTTACACGGGTTGGTTCCATCTTTGCAACTACAACATGCACCGCACAACTCGGAACAACATCTATAACAATTTAAGATAAACGCTACAAAATGGCATGCATCTAGAGTTGACAAAAAACTCTGAAAAAAACAACATGACAACATGAATTTCCCCCTTTGGCATTTTGTAGTTGGATTTCATTCATCCAAAGTTCCGACCGTTTTTCAAAAAACATTTTGTAGAGGTCTGCAGGGGTGCCCACATGTTGCTGGAGGTTTGAACTTTCTCCAAGTCCAAGTCAATCAGGAAATGTGTGGGTTGGCCATCTTTATTCATAATTCTTCTTCAAAGTGGCTGACTTTGTGGGTTTTTTGAGTCAACAACCCGGCGACCACGCGATCCCTTGTGACAACCATCAACATTCTATGGGCTCGTGTTTTTTCTAGATGTATGGAATTGGCCACCCCTTTTTGCAGAGGGCCAGGCGGAGCAATGCAACGAAGGGATAATGATGGATAATGTCAACCTCAGAGTTTTCTGTTGGGAATAAGAAACCTTATTGATTATAGAATATTATAGATAAATTAGATAATTTATGGATAATCAACAACATATCTTACCACAGTGGACTTTCGTCCTATTTTGGAGTAAATGGACAATGTTAAACCCAGACCCCAGATGGTAAAAACTTGGCTGGTTGACTAGCTTGTTCTTCCCAAAAAGACAATTTGCCGTCAACATGTAAGCCACTAGTTCACGTGTCAGTGTCCCGAACAGCATTCCTTTTCCATCCAATGAACTACCACGCCGGACCATCTTAGCATTCAAACTCAAAGTGTACAGCACTTTAAATCCATGAGCATCCCACATTCTTGCTTTCCTGCGTTTGCTAGCAGGCACATAAGAAAAACGTATCCATGGTTGTTTCACCCCATTGAAAAATCAGTCCTTGAGCTCTCATCCCAAATATGATTAAACACAAATAGCATATTTTATATTTGATGATATAGATATTTATAGAAATGAAATGGGTCAAATATAATATCCATGATCTATCAAATCATTAAAGCATTGCGTATGGTTTCAATATACTATTTAAACCACGAACCAAACTATATACATATATATATATACTTATATACCCTAGGAACCCAAACCCACAAAAAACGTAGGGTCAGTGGAAAAACCCGAGGTTTCTGTCACAGAAACCCGAGGTATTTTCCAAACCAGTACTAAAATACGGGGTTCAGTACGAAATTGAAAAAGAAAAACTGAGGTTTGCGTAAGAAACCCGAGGTATTTTCATTTCGTCAAACATACCCGAGGTTTCGAGTCAGACCCTACAAAGTTCCAGGGTTTGGGTTCGCAGGGTACATATGTGTTTGCAATCAGTGGTCTGCTCAGATCAAGCAAAGAGTCTGCTACACACCAAGACTGTCTCGGCGATTCCACTTCTTGAACTGGAGAGCACATCGCGCGAAACATCGCGCGAGGAAAACTCCAGGATCAACTGCTTCTTGTTGATCTTAAAACAACAATATCTCAAGTCAGGATCTCTGAAGTTTATTGAAGTTTCCATATATGTGGTTCATTCCCAACATTAACTCTGGACCCAAATGACTGAGCACACAACAAGTTCTCTCCTCTCATCTCATTGTTTGGAAGCCACCCTCCGCTGGCTGACCCGCAGCTGGCCCAGCTCAGATTTTCCAGAAAGCCCACCTGGAAACTGGCGATGATCAACCGGCCCAAAGAGATATACAATATATGTGTATAATATAATATACAACATACATAATTTATATGTAATTATATATAAATTATATAAATATATAATTATTATCATCCAGTGATTCAATAAATATAATATAATATTACCCGGCTTTTGGAATATCCCGGGGGATGACCGGGGGATAAGCCCATCTAAGTGGAAGTCTCCAGAAAAAGAAGGGATACCCTCTGGTAATTTAACATAGCTATGGAAAATGGTGATTTATAGTGATTTTTCCCATTAAAAATGGTGAATTTCCATAGCTATGTTAGTTTACCAGAGGGTACGCACCAAAAATTGGAGCAATGCTGATCCTGGAATATGTGAACACAGAGGTTTCGGAATTTTCATGGATTTGAAAACCGGATGTGAAAAAAGAAACCCCCGAAAAGGATGCCTAGAGGTTGTAACATTGTAAACCTTGAAATATGTTCAGTAAATATAATCTTCCCTTATAGTTGATTGTTCCATTAAAATTCATTAACACCTCCATTTATAGGAGACTTTCAATTACTACTGGGTGGTGTGGTGTGTCCCAGTTTTGTTTGTTGGTTTACGATCGACATTAACTATAGCAATATATAGCTCTATATATATATAACCCATTCGAACCCTCCAATCAACCCTAGCAAAATAGGTGTGATATTCACCAACTTCGCTTCTTTATTCAGCATGTTTTACGAAAAAAAAGGATCCAACTAATCAAAACATATACTAGTATGTATATATATATATATACCCTCTGGCTATTTAACATAGCCATGGGAAATAGCCCATTTATAGAGGTTTACCCATTAAAAATGGTGATTTTCCATGGCTATGTTAAATAACCAGATGGTATATATATTTGAACATTTTCGAATCATCCAAGACCTCCATCAATCCCATGATTTATCCAAATTTCGTTGGGTTTTTTCGAAAAAATCCAGCCTTGCCTGTTTCGGCGGCCTGATCTCATTGGAGCTGGAGGACCTTCTGGTGTACCTTCATGGGAATGTCCTGCGGCGAGAAAAAACAAGAGATGGGCGACCATGGAAAATTGCCCATTTATAGATGGTTTACCGAACTTAAAAATGGTGATTTTCCATGGTTTATAGTGATTTATATATTATAAATCTGATATCATACTGATATAGCTCTGATATAGCTCTGATATACTGATACTATATATATCTTGATTTATCAGATTTTATCAGATTATATCAGTATGATTCAGTATGTTCTACTTACCGGGTTGTTGAATGATGTTTTTTATGTAGGGAACATTTTTTACTAATCAACCAGTGGGAAAAGGACATCTGTGGATAGAACATCTAATCCAACATCCTAAAACACGCCAATGCCCTGAATGATCGATGATTTTGTCACGTCACATGCCTTGGTGCAGTAAAACTCACATCAATTTTTGAGCTGATCCCGTCCGAATCCACCACTGCGATTACAACAACGACCTAGAGTCCTTTTCGAGTCCGTAAATGGAATCACATGTAAATGGAAAAACAATGGATGACTTGTGATGATTTCCTATTGGGACGGTCAAACACATCCTATCAGCTGGGTTGTTGCATGTCGTGTCATATTCTGCTTATAACCTGCTTCCACGACTCAGCCCTCAAACTTCACAGTGTGGTATGAAATATATGTTCCACATCTAAATGGCCAGGATGGCCAAGAGATGACTTAGCAACATCTATTGATTACCAACCCAACCAGTCGCTTTCGCCATTGTAACAACATGTAACAACCATATCCCCAATGGTTCATGATAGCTCATGAAGGCTGATGGTTCATGATTGGCAATCCCAGTCAATGCCCGACCAGTTAGTCGCTGCTTTTTGACCCTCTGAAAGCTGCTTTGCAAGGTCCAAATGCCCCGCAGCAGCAGCCCAGGCCTGGCCAAACAAGGAGTTCTGGTGGGTTAGATCATGTTATGGCCACCTAAAAAACAGGATAGAACAGTAAAATCCGCTCCTAAAATAGTGCTAAATATATCTAAATATCACATTTCTATCTTTTTTTCTGTGTATCATGGTGTATCTTAGAGAAGGTTATACAGCAACTTGCAACGCCCCCATCCTTGGATCACGACTTGAGATGTTCACCAGGGTTCCCTGAAAATGACTATGGGAATGGGTCAAGTCTGCTGCAAGCAGCCCATAAATCGATGAATGTGTGGAAACTATATGTAACATTATGTAACTATTGAGTAAAGCCAAACATAAATCAGACCGAACTAACCAGACTTGGGGGTTCTGATCAACTGTCCAAGATATGGGTATATGGTAGGAACATCCTCATCAATCACCGTCAAATAACGCGATAATCAGATAAGGCCCCAAAGGAAGATATGATTTTCTCAGGAAAGGAGGAAGCCCACTTTTGAAGTGCTTGCTCCTCAGAATTGTTTGAGCCATACCCACCTCAGCTACTTATCTATCCACATACGAATGATTGGGCTCGCTCCAGCGTACGCTCGAAGGCTCACCAGCTTCCAACTACTTATGTACTTGTGTACCTGAAGACAAACACACCAAGTCAAGGATGCCAAATCCTCCAAATCAGAATTCACCATCTGGAGCATGAGCAAGCTCTCAAAATGTCAAGCAACATTGCAACTGAATTTCTGCAGCTTTCACCCTTCCTTCAAGTCCATGTCAGCCACGGCAGATGTTCCCAGGGCCCGTTTCCATCCTCATTTTCAGCTCCACCCGCGCTGAAAATCTGCAGAATTTGAGACAGCGGGTGGAATGCGAAATCTGGTTGAAGGCCACAGAAGCAGTTTGCATAAATGCTATTAAGGGAATTTCAGACTGCCGCGATGATCCACTTTGATCATTCTAACTTTAAGATCAGCTGGATTCTCTCGGTAGACACTCTCAACTCAGACAGTAAGTATTTCTTCCATAGCCACCCAGCAGAACTTTGTTGCTTCATGGGTTCCTTCGGAACACCACGCAACAATCTCTAGAAAACGCAAGGCTCAGCAACGGTTGAAATCGAGGCTGGGATCGAGGCACAGCTGAAATCCAAGGACTAGACGTTCATAGTCTTCATAGTCATATGAAATGAATGTGTCATGAACAATCCAATACAATACACTGTACCTTTCCGGATCCAAAAAAGGCAGATTCTTATAGTTTGCTATGGTATTGATGGCCCATGGTTGATTTACCTATTGTAGCTTTAAAATGATGAGTGTCCATAGCTATCTTAGTTTACAGCGTCAAATGCGGTGTTCGTTCCTTGGTCCGACGCCAAAAGTCGTGACTTGTCGCGTAGGCTGGGGGCCGTCAATAGACCTCTGCAACGTCTTCGTTGCCCGCCTGCAGGTCGCAGAGGCGAGCAGCTGATTTGGAGCTGCTGAAAACATACATTAAGGAAAAAGGGATCCATCCGTGTAGCAATCTATATGTATGAATGCGTAAATATATAATAATTATATAGTATAATATAATACAATATAATATAATATAACATAATATAACATAACATAACATAACAAAATATAATATAATATAATACAATATAATATATGTGTCTATGTACATTACAATCAATATATATATATATATGTATTGCAATATAAATATTATCACAATATATCACAGTGATCTATCACAACAATATACAATGATATATCGCAATATATCACAATGACATTTGACAATCAATATATCACATAGTATACATATAATTATGTAATACAATTTTGTACCATTCATGGAACATTTGCAAAACTATGGATACCCATGATGGTTGGTGGTTTCAAGCCCTCTGCAGAGATATTACACCGTTAATGAGGATCATCACATCCCAAGAATTACATTGAAAACAGAAAAGTATCTTTGAAATTATTTGAGAACACCGGCATGATTAAGCAAGGGGTGTGCAGTCTTACCATGCCTTACCAGCTTTCGCCAACGGCATGGTACGTCATCTGGGAAATGGTCAGAATTGGGAGTCCAAAGCAACAACTTCGGTCATATTGGTACTAAACCATCCAATTTAGAGTTTCAACGATTTTGCCCGAGAACCATAGAGAGTCTTTGATTTTCACAATGGTTTAACAGTACGATTCTTTTACCATCTCTTGACAGTGAAGCCCCAAATCAGGGACCAGAGAACGATGAGAACGCAATGGAAGCCACTGATCATACCTCAATACATCTCTAGATGCTGGTGCTGGGTGTTTACTACTAGTACCTGGAACGGATTACCAAAAGACACTAGCATCTTTTCTTCCCCACAGCTACAAAATGTAGTCCCATGCCTACAAAAGAAATATATGTGCATATATATATACATACATATACTCGCAAGCTGAGATACTCTTCATTTTTTAAACGTCTTAGAAAGTTAGCATATTACATATTAACATATATAATTTATAATTATCCGGCAAAACATATTGCAAACACCATACTCAACCCAGCAGCCAGCATGACCCAGTTCGGATAAAAGGGGGGCGCCTCGACCCTGTTCACTTCCAAATGGTTGCTGCATCGCAATTTCACCTCTTCCCCTGGCGAGTAGCAACTGGGGACAGTAGTTGCAGCAATTGTTGAACCCCTTGGAACTGGCATGAAGAAACCTGACAAACAGATACAAATGGGGGTTTCTGAAATTGTGGGATCCGCAAAACCATGGTTTTCAACACTAAAATGATCCAATTTTGGATGATTCGACGGTACACCCATTTTACGAAACCTCCAAATAGGAACAAGGCAATCAGCTATTTTACGTTTTTCAAACCTGACAAATAGATACAAATAGGGGGAAAAACAGTTTAAAATGGTCTTCTTCACAAAGAGGCAACTTATTCTTTGCATCTGTTTGGATGTTTTTGGCCTCACTTTTTCTTACATTCTATGCCTCCCAGTATCCCAGGATCAGAGAATCACACCTGAGGTCTCTCTCTGCACGCAGTCAGCATTCCTGGCAGAGTGTCAAAGGGCTACCGTCAGTAGATGTGAGTAGTAGGAATGCATCCAACTATCATGGTTGCCTATTATGGTTAAACATGGTTAAACTAATTTGGTACTGTATTTCACCAATATTTCATTGGTACGTGAGCTTCTAGGAAAATCTTGGGTTACCAGTCTGAAAGCGAAGACCACCTTCAGGCTGTGAAACTGATGCGAACACGCGCGAAGAAATCACCTTCGTCCGCCATGAGGTTCCCAAGACAGGACAAAGTGATCAGCGGGAGTCATCCCCATCTGCAAAAAGATCACTGTCCCAAAAGCGGTTTGCCAGAAAATCCTCTGGATATTTATCATGTTCCCGTTCCCGTTCCCCCCCAAAAAATGTAAGTGTTGCTGGTGTATCCATTTTCCAAACAATCCTAACATAGGATGAATCCCCACATTTCCCATCCGGACTTCGGATGACTTCGGCAGGTGAGGACCTCCCGCTAGGGCTTGGCGCTCTCTCCCGCCGCGGCCGGCTGTGCACGCGCCGCGCAGTGGGCGAAGTCCAATCTGCGGCTGTGGAGTCACGGCACCGCCCAAGGGCCCCCAAACAACAAGGGGACCCATATACCATGAAATCCATGGTTGCTTTATGAACATGTGGAAAAAAAGTGGTATGATAGGTACAATTTAGTAACCATCAATGGCCATCTCAGTGGGGAAGGGGAATAAAACCGACCATGATAATATGGATGTGTCAATATGGATATAATATTGATACAGTAAATATATATATATGTATATATATGTGCTATACATAATATTGTGGGATTTAGTGGGATATGTTAGTATGTGCGCGTGTGTCTGAAAATAGATTCTTTATGGCCACCAACCAATAATTGACAAAATACTGATCAACCGTGGTAAAATGTTGGTTTGTTGGGGGACTCCATTCTTGGACAAAACATGACAAAACAAGAAAATAAGCCAAGCAATCACTACATACTTGGCAACTTTGGGACGTGCGTAGTTTCTCGTAGATGTAGAAACATATCCGTACATGAATGACTGAGTTGTAAAAGCCCTTTTTCAGCCCACGACTCCTTCGACGTTAGCACTTGGAATAATGTTGTCACCGGGTTGCATAACATGCCCATCTGCCCTCATCAGGTCCTCTCCCTTCATGTTGAAACCAGCGGTTCTGCACTATGTTCCACTGAAGTTGGCGGTTCATGTTCTTTTCCATGAGTAACATGTGTGTTGGTTAAGTCACTTGGTTGTAAACATTAACATGTCAGCTGTTTGAACTTGGGGATAGTTTTCCTGATTCATACAATTTTATACATGTTCATCTGTAAAATGTTGTTTTTGAAGATTAATGTTGTTATCCATGAATTCCCACTTTTTGTTTTATTTCTGGAGATATGGCAGTGTGTCAAAACCTTGTACCCCTGGTGAACATCAAAATAGCTGGTAAATGGATGTTCATCCCCCTAAAAATGGTATTAATAGGTATTGATCCATTCCCATATGGATAAAAAAACATGGTGTTAATCCCTGAACTTTTCTCAGCATGGTGCCACCTGATCGCTCCAGGGCGTGAAGCGACGAGGCGCGAGCATGCCTTATGAACAACGACCGAAAACGACGCGGGGGATGTCTTTTGGTGCGCTGGCCTCCGTAGCCTGCGAAGAAATAAGGATTTCCAGCCTGAAAAATGGGGATTCAATCAGAAACCATTGGATTTTTCACCAAAAGTTGAGATTTAATCATGAACAATTGGATTCGACTGGTGAAAGCTGACCAATCTATGGGGATAGAATGATATGACGGGAATATCGTGAGACCATGATGGGATTCATAATAAGCAATATGATATGAGGTTGTCTCTAAAAATGGTACAAACAGTATCCGGTATATCATATCCCAAGAAAATCCTGAAAACATTGGTTTCAATGGGAAAAACAGATGTCTGTTGGTACGTTGACCCATTCTTACTGGTACTTTGAGAGGCACGGTTAAGACACAATCACCACAAAACAAAGGGAAATTCACCCTCGAAGTTGGGGATTCCAGCAACAATTGATGTTTCACCGACAATGTCCGGGATTCAACTGACTAACAAGTTTGACACTTGTGGTTGTATTTTGCAACATTAGAAACTATAAAATTATGGAATTAAAATGGCAGTTCCCATGGTTCGATTTCAGAGGTATAAACATAGCCGAGATGTTGATTTGGGACAGGAGCCGTGGCATTGAAGTCTTTAGGTGCCGCCTCGTTCACATGGCCGCTTCTGGAAACACAAAAGGTGACCATGATAGGTGGAGTCATGGTATAGCCTCAAAGGTGTGTATATATATAATTACATATATATATACACGTATAATACATTATAATATATTATAATACTATCCACCTATATACATGATGTATCAAATGTATCATGGTGCAAAATCCATGGCATCATGGTTCAAAGCCCCATGTCACCGCTGGGTCTTCCTCGCGTGTCATCCTCATAGTCGCTAAAGTCATCGATGTCGAACTCGCTGGCCTCGGGAAAAAAAAAACGTGCTACTGGAAATGAGGGATGCCCTCCAGTAAATGAAGATAGATATGAACCCCACAAGCATTGTGGTAGATCATTTTTCTTTGAAAACCATGGGCTTTCCATACAATGTTCAATAAATTTACTATATTATACAGGGTAAGTACATGTAAGTACTGCAATCTAAATGTCAGTGCTCAAACCGAACAAATCCGACGTTCGAAGTCTGATTTTTGGACTTGTACCCGCCAGTCCGGATTTGAAATGCTCTCAGTAACCATGGTTTTTGGGTATCCACAATCTAAGCAGCAAAAGTGGATTTGTTTCAGGATATGGCTTCTGGTGCCTGGAAATACCCCAATGATGGCCATTTTCAGGGGACAGGCGCCCAAGACCCTAGGTATTTCTAGGTATTCCTAAGTGCCGTGCATGCGAAGGACTCGGGAAGAAGCGATTCCTGGCATGGTATCTGCTATTTGTGGCTATTTGGGGATGGGTTAAAACATCTTAAAACCCATGGAATCTGCTGGTGAACCTCAAAATGACTGGAATTTCTGGATGTGCACTGATGTGCACCCCAAAATTGAAATATACTACAGTATTTGATAGGTTTTGATCCATCACAATTTCCGGAAATTGGGTACCCTCGAGTAGATGGATGTAGTTGGGTCATACCTGACAATGGCCTGTGGGTCTTCTTTTTTTTACGATTTCGCGGATTTGGCCATGGATCAAGAACGGGCTGCGTAGCATTCGGATTTCCAATGCCATGGAAGGGCTATAATGGCCATAATAATGGCTATAATATGCTATAATTATATCTTCCAAGATGTCTCAAACTGACCATCTCCTTGGTGAAATCATTTTTTAGCTGATGAATCTCTACGTTTTCCCGTGAGAAAATGGCCCACCAACCAGTGGCAGAGCCTCTCAGCTGGCAGCGGCATGCCAGGAAGTTTCGGCTGGCCTCCGGTAGGAGCATCTGGGAACGAATTCTTCGAGATATTCTTAGCCTACGGTAGTCAAACCTCCCCTATCAATGGAGGTTTTTAATGGGAAAATAACAGGAAAAAGATAGGAAAATCATAGGAACATGACGATCTACCCTCTGGTAATCAAACATGGCAATGGACAATCCCCCATTTGCCAATGATTTTCCCATTAAATCTCCATTTTGCAGAGGATTTCCCATTGCTGCGGTTGATTGCCGGAGGGTAGATCTCCTGCAAACATGAAATACAATGGGGATACGGGATAGAACTCGACATATTTCGGATATTCTTATAGATCTTCTTGCATCTTCCTCATGGCTGATAATCATATTCCATAATATGGGATACAGTATGGAACACCAACACCATGTGATATAATAAGGATACACATGGCAGTGTGTCAAAACCTTGTAGCCCTGGTGAACATCAAAATAGCTTGTAAATGGATGTTCATCCCACTAAAAATGGTACTTATAGGTATTGATCCATAGCCACATAAACCTGGATATAGCATGATATAGCTGCCTACATCTCCAAACCGTCAAATGGCAGGTAAATGGATGTTCATTCATCATCGACCAGTGGATCCACAGCTACTAACCATAGCTGGATGGATCGATCGCTGGATTGCTGAATCTTGGACGAACTGCAAAAAAAACTAACTAGTAACTATCTTATGATAATGTTAGATGGATAGAACATGATAGAACATTATATATGATAGATTATGATAGTATATGCTGTTATTTTCGGCTAAGAAATGACCATCAAACCTACAAAAACACTGGAAAGTCCACCCGCATCTTACAGTCTCAGGAATTCCAACCACACAGTTTATCCATTCCATCTTCGGGATGTACCTTCAGCATTCATGGAGTCTTTCAAGGTAAACTTTAAGTACTGCTACTTTTTCAAAAACACCATTCTGACCGTTCTGACCTATTCCTTGTAGGCCTCTTGGGTTCAAGTTATGTATACACACACACACTCACACACACTCACACACACATGCACAATATGTGCATGATACCTCCATCCAAGCTCTCTGGTAACCCACTTCCAACCGACTTCCAACGGACAACAAGCAGCTCTCTGGAGCAGGCCGCTGGATGCTGTCTGTGGCCGGCTGTCCCCGGAAGCGCTCCAGCCAGGTCTGCCGGGCTCAAGGAAGGGTTTTTTGAAGAAGATATGCAAGAAACCAAAATGTTTACCCGAAAAAAAACCCGCAAATATGGTAGTAAACCATGGTAAACCAGTGGTATGCTTTTTCCTTGAAAGAAAATGGCCCCAAAAGAACACAAATTATGAAAGTATCATTTCATCCACCCATTCTGGATTCGGATTCTCCAAGATTTCTCACGACTTAAATTCCTCACCTGCAACTGCTGTTCATCTGGTGCTTCGAACAGCAGCAGCTGTCGAAACTCTCCGGAAGGCCAGGCCTCGACGCCAGGTGGCGAACAGCAAGGCAAAAATATGGTACCCATTGGTGCCCGGGACACTTGGTACCCTCTGGTAATTTAACGTAGCTATTGAAAATGACCATTAATAGTGGATTTGCCCATTAAAAATGGTGATTTTCCATAGCTATGTTAAATTACCAGAGGGTAATGGATGTTCAAGTCTGGTAGTATACTCGGTTTTGAATGGTTTTGACCCATCCCCATAGTTGGTTTCTTGATGAGTTTGTTTGCTCTTCTATCGACGTGTTGAGGCGACCATCATCGATTTACTTTACTTGGGGCTTGATTTCTACGTCCGGATCTTCCATTTCTTGAGGAGTTGTCATTTCAGCCACAAGGCATTCCGTGCAACCCCAAAAATCGTTGGCAATGGTTGGCTGAGCGTGGACAGAAGCAAAACCAGGAACGTCGATGGTGCAATGGTGCTGTGCCCCTGAAAGATTGAACGAAGATTGAACAAATGGGCAGTCAGAAAAAAAAAACTGAAAAACATGGATGAGACTGTTCCAGTTATCCCAGTGTTGGGCATACAAAAGGCCTCCATCCTGGCTCTTGACATCCAGGGTACATCATCTTCAGCATCAAGCGGATTAAGTTCAAGCAAAAAACCTGCCGTGGGTCTAAGCCAGTGGGTCCAGAATAGTCCCTTTGCCCCCTCTAAATGCTCTAATAATCAACACTCCTGAGTGGGCAATGGGGTATAACATGGTATAACCATTTCTAGTGGATAAACCTATCACATGAAACACCATTGAACCTGTTGATGTTCCGGGCTCATATGCTCGGGTGGTCTTTGTGAGGGGATGGGATTATGACAGCACGTTGCGACTCACATCCCCGCGCAATGGGGTTTGCTAGGTGAACACGTTCATGTCAAACGTCTGTCTACCAGTAACACACACATGAAAACCCACGCACACCATTTTGTACACAAAATATGTATATATATATATACATATATATATATATGTATGTATGTATGTATGTCTGTATGTCTGTATGTCTGTATGTCTGTATGTCTGTATGTCTGTCTGTCTGTATGTATGTCTGTATGCCTGTATGTCTGTATGTCTGTATGTCTGTATGTATGTATGTCTGTATGTCTGTATGTCTGTGTGTCTGTATGTCTGTATGTCTGTATGTCTGTACGTCTGTATGTCTGTATGTCTGTTGTCTGTATGTCTGTATGTATGTCTGTAGGTCTGTATGTCTGTATGTCTGTAGGTCTGTAGGTATGTAGGTATGTAGGTATGTATGTATGTCTGTATGTCTGTATGTCTGTATGTCTGTATGTCTGTATGTCTGTTGTCTGTATGTCTGTATGTATGTCTGTATGTCTGTATGTCTGTAGGTCTGTAGGTATGTAGGTATGTAGGTATGTAGGTATGTAAGTATGTAAGTATGTAAGTATGTAGGTATGTAGGTATGTAGGTATGTATGTATAAGTATGTAAGTATGCAAGTATGCAAGTAAGTATGTAAGTATGTAAGTATGTAAGTATGTATATAAGTATGTAAGTATGCAAGTAAGTATGTAAGTATGTAAGTATGCAAGGATGTATGGATGTATGGATGCATATATATATATATATAATTATTTATATATATATATGGATGGATGGATGGATGGATGGATCCCTGCATGCATGCATGCCTGCATGCATGCATGCATGTATGGGTGTGTGGATGTATGGATGTATGGATGTACGCATGCATGTATATACATTTATATAATAAACAAATATATATATATAATCAAATATATACATTTATGATATGTGCACGTTACGATACAAGGTGGTCTCGAAAACAGCAACAAACGTACAGTCTAGGCAACAAATGAAACATGAACTGTGATTTAACCTCCGACTCTTTCGTGTAAAATGAAGTCTCCATGGTTATGATGCCTCTGTCGCCCCCCGGGGTCCATCAGCAAGGCGGTTTATTAAGGCAGTCCAACACCCTTGCTGTAATGTGCAAGTTCTGAGCATGATATCGTCATATGGAGAATTCCTAAGTTATGGGGGTACTCGGGTACCCCCAAATAATCCAAGTCATCAGACCAGGACTTCGTACTGAAACAACCATTTTAAGGAACCCCTAAATTCTGTGTTCCACTTCCAAAGTTCCAAAGGGTATATTGTTGGAAATTTTCAATGTTCGCTTTGCCCTTGGGTTCATGGTGGATTGTCACTATTGCGGCAGGTAAACATGAGTGAAACTTCGCACTCAAGCATAAATGATTGGATTGCTGATAAACCAGAAGTAATTTGACCATTTAAAGTTGTTGCATGTTGTTGCTGTCTTCATTAATCGTCCAAAAATATCCAAAAATCACATCACCCTCCAATGTTTGTTGCTGTTTCACGATAACCTGATTCCATAGTAACTACAAATTCACTTACCCCCCGTCTTGCGGTCAACTCCCAATTGTTGTTGCTTAAGCCTCGCCAAGGAACTGGCGTGGGAAAACAAAAACAAACCCATTCCATCCCATGGTTCAAAACCTCAACCATTCCCTGAAGACCATAATTTAAGGGTACCCGGCCTGGTAAACTAACATAGCGAACTGGAAAATCACCATTTTTAATGGGAAAATCCATTATTTCTATGGTCATTTTCAATAGCTATGTTAAATTACCAGGGGGTAAACCCAGCTTTTCAGACACAGCCACTTTCGACAAACAAGATAAACAAGGTTGCCCCATTTCACCATTGGTATTCCCTATTAAAATGACCAAAACCAAAATTTGATTATTCATGCTCATCATATGTTCCACCAAAATTGCCATTTCATTGGTATTCCCCATGTTCAGACACGCCCCCCATATTGTTGGTTCTATCAGCCATTTGTCCATTGGTTCAAATTTGATGCCCTCACCAGCAAGAATCTAATATCATGTCTCTATATATTTCAAGTGTATCATCTCCAATGATGATATCCATACATCAAATAGGGGGTATCGACATGTGATATATTATAGGTTCTATCACCCCATGAGCAGTACTCAAAACCCCTGTCTATTCAGGATTTTGTGCTGTTACACAATTAGGGATTACCCTCTGGTAAATTAACATAGCTATTGAAAATGGCCATTTATAATGGATTTTCCCATCAAAAATTGTGATTTTCCATAGCTATGTTAAATTACCAGAGGGTATCCCATATTATCACAATCCATCATGGCAAGGGTTTATGAAGGGACGACGTTGCATCCTGACCACACACCGCACCCTGCGGCCGCTGCCCTCGCAACTGGGCCGCACGGTGGGGCGCCCGTGGGTCGCCAAAAGCCAGCGCCCGCAAGTTCCGCGGCAACGCCAGGCGGGCCGTGCGGCGCCTGCAGCCATGGAGGATGAAGCCACGCTTCATACAATATATTCCCACATGGGGATATTATGGGTGTATATATATAATTATATATAGTGTGTATATATATATATAGCGAGCACCTAGCAGTTAGAATTCGTAAATCATTGCGACAATCACTTAGAATTGTGTCTCAGTGATACCTGGGGAGTGCACTTAGAATTGCCGGCAGTGATGTCAAAAGAATGCACTTAGAATTAGAAGGCCATATCATAGCCAAGCACAATTCTATGTGTAAAAGAATTCTATCTGTTAGAAATACGTATAAAACAATTCTAAGCCGTTTTTTTCTAGCACTTAGAATTCGCAGATATTTGCGAGGCAATAACCTAAGAAAATAATTCTATCTGCTGGGAGGTCGCTATATATATATATATTTACACCATATGATAGAAGGTGGGACCCCTTAGATAGAAAAAGTTGGTTTATGACTCCAATAAGCATGTTTTTTGGCAATAAGTATAGTCAATGGATGTACAAAACCACTTATAACTTGGGGGCCTCACCTTGCAGTGATTATAGCAAACCCAAAAAAGAATCAAACAGATAGAACACATATTAATAGAAATCTGTTGGAAACCCGGAAAATATGGTTGAAACATCATCTACGCCACCCTGGAAATACTGTTCAAGATCTCTTTGGGGGTTACTCTATTGGATGTAACCAGGGAAAAACACATGGATATTAAAATGGGTTCAACATGGTTCAACTATTTGTACAGGGTTGCAGGGGGTTGCTGCTCCCAACACCCAAGATACAACGAGGGAAATGGTTCGATATAGAAATAAAACCATCAGTTCCCCCCGCCTAGTGCCTATCATGCACCTATAACAGGGCAGAGCACCCCATTATAATCTGGTATATTGTATTCTTTATGATTTGGTGGTATTCCCACTTCAAGCAACCGCCATACTAATTTACCTTTTCTCTTGCACCAGGCAAGAAACAGATCCAGCGGCTGGTTTTCAAAACTGTCACCAGTGCCAAGTCGCTTGCAGCTCTCATCTTGGAACAAGTTGAGTTCTCCACAGTGCAGCACTGCCCATCGCCTCTGCCAAGCACCGGCCTGTTTCAGGATGGCAGTTTTCCCCAGAAATGGCTGGAACCATACCTACATGAAGTCTATAGAATACTATGTCATACTGATTGGTTTAATCAACAAGACCCAAGTGGATGCATAATCATTCAGTACTGGCTTTGTGAAAATTATGATTACTACAATACTTGTTACTAATTTGATATTAATTACATAGTACCTCACAAACATGGGAACCAACCAGTAGGTTCTGAAGGAGAGGGTTCATAAGGTTTGGCCTTCAATCTTTACTCCACTTGATTCTGTTGAAATGAAACTTCAAGTCCCAGTTCATGACGTTTGATCATTGTTTTTTATCCTCCCGTTGTACCCCAAGGTGGTAAGTTTACCCATGAAGATTCCATGATTTGACTTGGAAAAATGCAAATATCATATGTATACATATGATATATGTATATATACAGCAAATGCCTGGGCTTTGCCCGGAACCGCAACCACGACAGGCAACGCATCATCATCATCATCATCATCATCATCATTATCATCATCATTATCATCATCATCATCATCAAGCCCTTACTGAAGATCTTCAATGAATGTAGAAGTTTAAAGGGGGTGGGAGAATTGAACCCCTATAGAGATCTTCAATAAATGATAATAAATGTAGAAGTTTAACGGGGGAAGGAAAATTAAACCCTTATCGAAGATCTTCAATGAATGTAGAAGTTTAAAGGGGGTGGGAGAATTGAACCCCTATAGAGATCTTCAATAAATGATAATAAATGTAGAAGTTTAACGGGGGAAGGAAAATTAAACCCTTATCGAAGATCTTCAATGAATGTGGAAGTTTAAAGGGGGTGGAAGAATTGAAACCCTATAGAAGATCTTCAATAGATGATAATAAATGTAGAAGTTTAACGGGGGTGGGAGAATTAAACCCTCATTGAAGATCTTCAATGAATGTAGTTCAATGAATGTAGAAGTGTAACGGGGGTGGGAGAAGTAAACCCTCATTGAAGATCTTCAATGAATGTACAAGTTTAACGGGGGTGTGAGAAGTAAACCCTTATCGAAGATCTTCAATGAATGTACAGTTTAACGGTGGTTGGACTTTAATTTTAATATTCCCTAATACCTTTGTTGATCTTCATAATGGAATGCAGAGTTGCAACAACATTTGATTGGGAATGGGGACCCTCTAGGCTGCAACGCCTGGGCAAAGCCCAGGCGTTGCGCGCATATATACATATATATACACGTATATATATAATTATATATAATTATATATAATTATATATATAATTATATATAATTATATATATTTATATATATACAGTATATATAATTATATATATAGTATAATTTGATTAATATCATAAAAATGCATAACCAACCAATGTTCGTTAATGTTTACTCAATGACTAGCAGGACAACAGGATTTTTTTTCCGCGACACTGGCGAGAGGGGCATCCTTCAGGACGGGCTATTGCCACATGGAAAACTGGGTATCCCAAAATATGTCGAAATCGATCATCGTCATCGTCATCATCATCATCATCATCATCATGTTATCAACCTAAAATGCGGTAAGATGGAAACTTGTTATGTATAAACCAATCGTCACATGTATACTGTAGATCCCTAAACAAGGACCTCCTCGTCCTCGGGACTGCGGAAATCCAGCCAGGCCGCATGGGAAGGAAACTCCATCACCAGGTGGTGCCCCTTTGGTCGTTTGTGTTTGTGTGATTTTTCCTTTTGTTTTTTTTGTTGATGGTTTTTGGGTGTTGCTTTTGGTGGTTTGCTGATCGTTTTCGAAATGTTTTCGACATGGTCTTGAAAGGTGTTTGAAATGTTTTTGTGTCTGTTTTTGTTGCTACAATATGTGCTGTTGTTTTTTTCAATGCTTTTATGTATGTAGTTGGTGAGTTGGTGTCAGTCGAGAGATGCCAATTTGGGCAAATTGAGGGGATTGGACCAACTTTGGATTCGCAAGTGCCAGCCATATTCATTGTTAGTTGTTGATCTTTTGTGATCAATTCGGAGCGAAAGCAAGATTTATGCTGAGGGATGACTAGCGACATGGATTGCAGTCGCACGGTTTTTTTTTTCAGTGGAATGTAAGTCGATCATGGACCTCGTTAATGTAACCCATCACCCATTTGACCCTCCACTGGGATCCATCATCGAGGCTTCTCCTGGATCCCAAAAGCTCCAACTCAAACATTCCACAACAAAAACGCAAGTAGAGTGCAGTGGTCATGCACATAGACACCATGGTAAAACAACCAACGTTTAAAAAAAAAAAGATATGGGAAATCCAACAGTGTCTTGTCTTTGAAGTAGTTTTTCTATCCATTTCACCCATACTGTTTTGATCTGTTTTGATTGGATTTTGATATGCCTACCAGGCTCGGATACGTGGGGGAAACGTGGGTCCAATGCGACCCAATGAAATGATACAAGGGTACTCAAAATCACATCCAAACCATATTGGCGAACTAAAAGCCTCAACAAAATTTGCCCCAAACCCAAATATCCATAAATATCCTGGTTTCTTGATTGTCACACCCTCATGTTTGAGGGCTAACCTCCATTTGCCGATGCAAATTATTACATAAAATTACCATCTTAACCCCACATGTCCGAGGCCTACAGACTCTATCTTGGGTGCTCAAACCCAATCTTCCACCTGGCAATAACTCAGAATTATCATGAACCATCCCCCGAGCTGCATGGGTGATGGGGTAAATCCCAAAGGCCACCAGCGCTGGCACCTCAGGCAGCAAGCCCCGCGCATCTGCACAGGAGGAGCTGGGCACCTCCTGCAGAAGCCACAGAGCAGCCTCTTCGTGGCCCTGGCACCGACGGATTTGTGGTGGAGGAAAGGCTGCCCCTACAGGAATTGGATGGAATTGGGTCATAATCCGAACAAACCAGGAACTCTCATGAACTCTCTATCTACATCTATCTACTATACTGTACTGATCATCCAGGATTTTAGGCACTGATCATTACATGCTGAGAGGCTGCCATTCTTCGGCGATTTTTCGGGGCCAAACGGGTGGCCTCGGCCGCCATGAGGTGCAGGGGCGTCACCCCACTGTGCGCGTCACGCAAGGACAAGTCGGCGCCGGCCTGAGCCAATTCACTCAGGGTCCAGGTTTTCCTCATCCCCTGATTGGTAGGTCAAAACCTCAATTTTTTGCTGCGATATGGGTGTAAACCCATCTTACTACTGATATCAAACATCTATTAAATCATTATTTGAGATCATACTAGATCATATTAGATCATTAGAAACCGTTTGACCCCCTGGTAGTCAAACATGGCTAGCTGGAAAATCCCGGATCAACATGGAAGTCTGTTAGATTTTCGAAAAAAATGGGGGTGTGTCAAAGCCTTGTACCATCTTTTTTACCCTGGTGTGAACATCAAAATAGTTGGATTTATGGATGCTCATCAATTTTGATAGCTATTGATAGCTATTTCTTGGATTTATGGATGTTCATCCCCCAAATCTGGGTAAATTATAATATTTCACTAACCTGAATTAAGGCCATTTGGGGATGATTCCCCTTATTAACCATGATTCCCAGTGAGGGAGAACAGTGAGGTCGTTATAATTTACCCTGCCAAATGCTATTGATAGCGATCCATAGCCATCCAATCCCCCAACGATGGGCCGGGCCTTCAGCAGCAGCTGCAAAATCTCCAGCTTGCCGCCGCGCGCAGCCCAGTGCCCGGGCGAGGCCTCGACACCCCACAACCTACAGACGTATAATGCATGTGTCTGCAACTTTTATGTGCATATATGTGTGTATGTATATATATATACACATACAGAGACTCTGAATTATACTAATATAGACTTACAAGTGTGATGCTTGAAATATGACTTGGAGAAAAAACAAAAAACAACAACATACCCTCTCATGTTGCATTTGGTTCACCGAATATAAGCTTCGGCAAACGGCTGCTATGGGTTTGCCACAGTGAGCATGATAACATGTAACTGATATCTGCAAAGAAATGGCACACGAATGTTCCTCGTTCAAGTTATATGAAATAGAACCAACATGAACCAACACTCATGTTGCCAAAGAGATGTGGCTAGTAGATGAAAGTAAAGTAATGATTAGACTTCGCTGAATTTCGCAGATGTTCAAAAACATGTAGATATTCCAGACTCAGTCACTGCCTGCAGGATATGGGTTTGCCAAAAAATTGAAGACACCCAAATAGTTCCCCATATATCGCCATGTTTTTCCATGTTCATCGTGAACATGTTGATCAACCATAGGGGCTTTTGAGGCTATTCCTGCCGAGAAACACCATGGGCGTCCAGCAGGTTGGGAGACAACTTTGGCCCACCCACCTGGCCAGAAATTTGGGACTTACTTCTGACACTCCAAGCCGGCAAGGCAAAAATCACCTTTGTATCTATATATGTATAACATATGTATATATATATACAGTATGGGGAAACAATCAGTACAATAGTGTATATATATATGTAGACTGCCAAATGATCTACATACTGTCTGCTGATGTTTGCCAGTACGCTACATTTGATTGCAGCATCCCATGCGCCCAGGCCTTGAAGAACACCACATCCCAAGATTGACATATGAACAGTTATGTAACTATATGAGCAAACTATCATTGGTAATATGAACTATCTATGTATGTATCATTGGTAATGATGTATGTAACAGTTATGTTATGTAACTATCAGTGGGAATATGAACCAGCTATCATGAACAACATATACATTTTGGCTGGTTCATATTCCCTTTGTTGACTTACTCGCCATGGCTGTTGATGCTATTGGTCAAAAACCCAACTAAGGAAAGCTAAAACATGCGTTCTTATGACTATAAATGGGACGCTTGTGCGGTTATATCTGGATTTGTCCCCTAATCCATTCTGGGAATCAAACCATGGATTTCTACTTGATAGGGGATTTCTCATTGCCATGATTCTGAGAGGGAAAATTCTCCAGCTCAAAAGCCCACTGATCAGCACCTTGATCATCCATTCCAACACCTGCCAAGGAAAAGGCAGCGGAAATTGATCGGAAACCTGGGGGGTTTCCTGGCGGAGTGATGGTTTGCTTCAAAAACCTTCACTGCTCAATGCTACGACGATTGAGAGTGTTTCCTTAATGCTAAACCCTCTGTCTTGTTCCCGTAACTCTAGGGTAGTTGGTGGAAACCCGCAGACCCTGAAAGAGTATCACGTGAAGAAAAGTCTGACGAACTTGGGTTCAGGAAGGGAAATGGAAGGATGTAATAGGCTGAAACCACCCAACAAAAGTCATTTCTCTACTGGAAACCTTCCAGTAATTAAACATGGCAATGGAAATTCAATCATTTCTAGATTATGTTACCATTAAACCCTTCATTCAAATCTTTAAGGGATTCTTCATTGCCATGTTTGATTACCGAAGGTGCAAGTTCTCCCAATACAGCAACATTCAGAGGGGGACATCCGCAACCTAGCCCTTTGATGATGTTGTTGCCCTTGGTCCGTTGGATTAACCATGCGTTGGTACCAAATCATTCGAATGCTATGTGGGTGCGAAATCATGACACCCCAACATGCTGATCCCCCCAGCAAAAGCATCATAGGTTTTGACAAAAATATCCATATCCAATCGATGTTGAATCCCCATCTCAAAATAACTCAAAATGTTCATGACCACAATCATATGTAAAAATGTAATCATTATATGTATATAACATTATATATGTATATAATATCATCTTCACAGTATAACCCCATTATGAAAATACATATATATATGTGGGTGCCATTGTCGAAATATGGTCGAAATATGGGCTACATTCCCACATTGGGGATGGTCATGAATCCAAAAACATATATATATAATTATATACCCATTAACATCCCATTACAGTAAAAGTGTTCCCATTATGGCATGGATGACCATACCAAAAACACTAAAATTTATGTTTCCCACGTATCCTCAGTATACCCCATCATAGTTGTTAAAACCAGCTACAATACCATGTTTTGATCATCGCATATTTATATATATATATATACATACACCCTCCGGTTATTCAACATAGCTACGGAAACGACCGTTTATAGATGATTTGTGAGGATTTAGCTATTAAAAATTGTGATGTTCAATAGCTGCGTTAAATAACCGGAGGGTATATGTATATATATATTGTAATTGCATATATGCTGTATATCTGCTGATGTACATCACTATCTTCATCATATGACTCCATTAAACCATATATTCATAAGTAAACATGATGTAAACCCATGTCCAACCGAAGAAAAATATATAAACACATATAAACAAAAAAGACTTATATGTCTATGTATTGAACTTATGTATATACATGTATATACATAATATAGGCGTATACCCTGTGGTAATTTAACAGTTTATGAACTGGACAAATCACCATTCTCAAAGTAGCTAAATCATTATCATTTCTATCATCTATAAATGGTCCATGTTCCATAGTTAAACCATGTTAAACCGGAGGGTATATCTAATATAATTATAGAATTCCCATGAATATCCCCATATTTGATCATTTTCGTTGGTTAGATCCCTATTCATCATCATAAAATCCCATGAATTCCTGAAAAATGATCCCCCATTTAGCTCGATGTCTTTTCCCCCTTGAAACCTCCATTTATAGATGATTCTTCCATATTCTTCCCATATCTTCCATAAATTTCCCATCATAAATCACCATTTGGGTGTGTCTGAAAATAGTGTACCCCTAAACCCAATGGTTAATGATCATTATCCCTATTAAATGGCTATAATTGGGAATATACCCTATCAGACAAACCCATTTTTAATAGGTCAATGGTCCATTTTCCGCCTCCACGGCGCCGCTACTGGCGGCCATGTGCAGGGCTGTGGCACCGGTCTCAGGCACAGCCTGATGCAAGGCATCCACCTCGGTGGGCTTTGGAGATAGATTTTTCTACGGTGTTTTTCTATGTGTTTCTGTACATCTTAAATATTATAAATAGATGTACATATGTAGATATATATATATAAGTGTATATATACATCCATAATATGTTATGTGTATATATAATTGTATATAATGTCTAATGTGGAGTCAACCCCCGGCTCTCCAGAAGGTGACCCCCTTCAATAAGGATATTGTCCGGGGTCACCTTTGGGTGGTTAGTTGTGTATAGTGCTGCCTAGCTTCTATGGTCACGACGGTTGATGTTGACTGTATTACTATGATATACTATGATGTCTTGGTCTGGCCACCCCTCTTGGTGGTAATGAAACCGATTCGCTCACAATTGTTAGTTCTATCACATACCATCATATACCCTCATTCGTTTGTTCTGTAGCCATATTGTGTCGTTGCTTTATTTTTCCGTGCCTTTCCGATCAAATCCCCATTGATTCGGCTATGTCCAAACAATGGGGTATCCTTGTCAAGAGACCCAGGAAATTCCTCGAATGTTTAGAACATATCACATATGAGCATATATTGAGGATATCATTTTATATTTACATTTATAATTACATGTATATCTATAATTATTGATTTATATCTAGATATCTAGATATATATATATATATACCATATATATATACCATAAATATCTATATTTATATATGATTTATATCAAGATTACATTTATAGATTTATATATATATAAGTATCTTGAACCATCCACTTTCGGTCCCAAAATGCGAGCAAAAGACACCCAGCATCTCGCTGAGACATTGCAGCACTTGAAGCTGATCCTGGCGGATCGATGCGGGAAATTCGGCGATTTTTTCAACAGCTAAAGTTAAAGTAGGCACGGATGACGTGCTAATCATACGTATTATAATGGATTATATACATATATATATATATAATGATCTAACATAATCTAATAATCTAATATATATATATCTAATGATGATATGTTCGATTCTGTTAGATCCAAATCATACGCGTATGTTATAAATATATATATATATCATCACTATATATGCACATTCTACGCAATGAAAAACATGTATATAGTCAATCACCAGATCCATGGGACAGCAAGGAAGTTCCCCGACAAGGCTAAGCCCCCGAAACTGAAACTAGCAACTACTTATCTACTTGAACCATCATCAGCAACCCGTTGCTGGCTTGTTCGATGATTAGTGAGCATGATTAAAAACAGCAGCAGCAACAACAGCAGCAACAACAACAACAACCACAACCACAACCACATCATCATCATCATCATCATCATCATCAACAACATGAACCACAACCACAATCACAACTACAACCATTCAGAATCTCGCCTACCAAAGTTGGGGGGGTTACCAGCACCATCCAATAAACATGGTAAACTCAGTAGCTGCTGATCAGTATCCTCAACCCCAGTACTAGTACCCCCTGTTGCTTGCCCAACGGCCCTCCACCTGCTCGGCGGCTGTACACAACAGCCTCATCCAGGAGGTTGAAAGTCAAAAATCTGCAGCAAAGCATTTTTGTCTTGTGCACTATGGGGGTATTCCCTCGAATTTTCGACCAAAATGACTAAAATGACCAAACCAATCTAGGACCGAACCATTGCTAGACCATCTCATCTGTGCATCTAAGAATGTTCAAACAAAAACAGGAAGCTTAGTAGACCATCACCTGGTGTTGTATTTGGCTAATTCCCCTCATGGATCTCGGCACTCACCTAGTGCCGCATGCTCAGCCTACGTACATTTGCCATCGACTTGCTGAAACCAAGTTTCTGATGATCAGACCAAATTTATCCAAATTTGGCGAATGGTGGGGAGCCGTTACGAAACCAACATTGATTTGGAAAAACCGGGTTTTGCGGTGTTTGCTACACAACTACCACTGACATGTTCGCCTAAACGCCCCTGTTTCAAGAATCATTCTTGCAGCTAAATTCCACTTTCCTCCCCAATTCTTTGCCACGAAATCTTCCACCTCGTTGATACTACATAACAAAATGTTTCACATTGCAGATTATTGCAGCAATAAACACCCCCAAAAGCCATAAACTATCAGAATACCTTGATTCACAAATGATTGTCCTATCTTATCCAATAGAATGAGTGATACAGTAAATACCTCATTTATCATCATATTGTTGAATGATGTTTCATGATTTTTCCATAAATGTTCCATCAATGTTACATATATTTACATCTATATTTCATCATATTTCCATATATTCCGAGATGTGTTCAGAAAACAAAACAGATAAAATCAATAGATTTCCACATTTTCCCAGCATTTTCCCCATATTTTCCCACATTTTCCCAGCATTTCCCAGCACTTCTCAGCCTTCCAGGTGGGCCCTAGGCCCCCCCGCTGTGGCACCTGGCTCAGCTCCTCGCGTTTCGTCTGACGGAGCTCCGCCAAAAAGCCGAAGGCGCAGAGGGCCTCGACCTCGCTGTGGAACCTGCCATTGATGCCAGGGGTCGATGAACTCATGGAGTAAAACAATGGTTAATATTATAAGTTAATGTTTATACATGATGATTAGTGATTAGTTAATATACCAAATGGTATAACATGGTAGTTCATATTACTATATAAGTTAATATTACTATATAAGCTAATATGGCAGTGTGTCAAAACCTTGTACCCCTGGTGAACATCAAACAGGCTGGTAAATGGATGTTCATCCCCCTAAAAATGGTATTAATAGGTATTGATCCATACCCATATTACTATATAAGTTAATATACCAATTATTACCATATATTAATGGTGATATTAATAATAGTATTTAATAGTTATACATGGTGATTAGTTAATATACCAAATGGTATAACATGGTTAATTCAATGGATTGGTTTAAGGGAAAATCTACAGGAACCCATGGGTTTTTACCATCAAATTGATCGGTGTTTCCTGTAAATTTTCCCATCATCCAATTCTATGATTAATATTACTATATAAGTTAATATACCAATTATTACCATATATTATTAATAGTTATACATTAGTGATACATGGTGATATTATTAATAGTTATACACTAGTGATACATGGTAATATTATAAATAGTTATACATGGTGATTAGTTAATATACCAAATGGTATAACATGGTAGTTTAACATTATAAACTAACTATATAGTTAATATTACTATAATAATGGTTAGTATTACTTTAGAACTAAGAATTAAGTATGGTTACCATTGGTTACTTGCGATATAATTGCTGGTATTGCTATATTTATGGGCACCTGGTGATCCATCCTACAATGGAAATCCTGGTTGGTGGTATACCTACCCCTCTGAAAAATATGAGTTGGTCAGTTGGGATGATGATTCCCAATATATGGAAAAATAAAAAATGTTTCCATGTTAAATTACCATGTTATACCATATGGTTAAATTACGATGTTCTTACCGTTAGTTAGTACAATAATTAGTACTAATAATGTTAACTAAAGGTTAATATTACCATATAGTACCATACTAATTAGTTAATATACTGTAATTAATTAAATGGTTACTTAATATTAAAGCCAGTATGGATTGTAGTAATACATGGCAATACAATCCATCAGGGGTTATTATATGGTAATATAATCCATTAGTTAGTTAGTTCATGAAATATGATTAATCCATTTTTATTGGATATGTTATTTCAACATATTTCAACTATGGTATTAGGATTAACTATGGCACAACCCATGAAAACAATGTGGGAACAATGCCATTTGCACCATCCCCCAGTCATCAGCATTTTGATGGGGTTCAAACCATTCACAAATGGGTGGTTTATGGCATTGTTTTACCCACATTTGGGAATTAGATTATTCACCATATGGTTGTTAGGATTAAGTATGGTTAATTGGGATATAATTAGATAGAAACCATCGTAATATTATTACTTACATACTAACTACCATAGTATTAATTAGACAATTCACCAGAGTTGGGAGTAACTAAAGATAGTAGTCAACTAAGTTGGGATTATTAACCCATGTTTTTCACCATATATGAGCAAAATCCCAAGTTAAAGATATGCGGAATTCTTAACCACATGGTTAATACGTGTATATATATATTATATTATATAGTTGGGGATTCATGGACTATATTGGGATGGATATCAATCTATATAGAATATCAACATTATTGGGACTTCATATTCTTAAGAATCAACTGCAATAATCAACTACAAGCAACCATAGTTATAATCAACCATAATCAACACAATGATGCTTAGTAGGGAATAGAAAAGGATCCATGATAATGATCCATGATAACAATCAACATCATTCAACATCTATTAACCATCATCCCATTCATATATAAATCATGGGAATATGATGGAATATGTGTCTGGTGGAGGATCATGTCTTCGCCGCGGGGGGGATTCTCCTCGCCTCTCCCAAGCCAACATCCCCAGCGGTCCTGCCCATACCACCCACACCAAAGGTCATGTCTTGTTCGGCAGGGTCATTGTAGGTGCAATGCCTGGACCATTGGACGTAACTGGCTATCTGCTGGATGGCGGATATCTCGAGTTCTACAGTTGGGCTTACAGAATTTAGAAACTATCGGTGAGTCGGCATGGACCATATTTTACGGATCAATCTTTGGGTGTTAGTTCAAAGAAATGCCTGATTAAGGAATACTCTAATACCAAATACATAATATATATATATATATCATATAAATAACAAAGCCTTCAAGACCGTTCTCAATCTTTGAGGATGTTCCATCTCCCGGCGGGAAACTGTTACTTGGACTTATGTAGTTATCATCATATACTGGCCACCAAGAAATCAAACTGGAGATGGTTTCACTAGGTTTCTCCCAACATTTCCCATAATACCCTCTGGTAAACTAACATAACTATGGAAAATCACCATTTTTAATGGGAAAAACCACTATAAATGGTCATTTTCAATAGCTATGTTAAATTACCAGAGGGTAATAATCACCCATCCCCCCCGACCAGTATCCATCCGGAATCAGCATGCATTCGCCAGGTTTTTGCTCGTGACTTTGGAGCTCACCTAGCGACCACCAACGGTCATCCCAGTTAGTACATGGCTTATAAGACACGTTTTTTGTGTAGGTAAGTCGACAAAAAATTAGTCAGTTTGGAAAAGAGTTTTGGAAGACATCTTGGACATGTTATCTTGATTCACGTGTTGAACACAGTTTATCTCATTATTTTGGAAAACAGATCATTGGACGTAGTTTTGAAGCAGCTCAAGAGCACCATTCAACCATCTACCTAGCAGACGTTTGGAAAGATCACGAACGACTTTCCGGAGCCTCATCGAAACAAAGGTGCTTTACTGACAGCCCCCCATTATATGTTAGTTTGTAGACCCCATGAACTGTAGTTGTAAGATGTTATCAGTATCATAAACCATACTTCTCGGAGATTACTGATTAATTATCCAGTTTGAGCCCCTCCGGAAAGCCGCCTGCGGTAGCGGCCTCAACCTGATAGGAACCAACTGCCAAAGTTCCGTCCCGATGTTCAAAACGTTCTTTATATGTGTTATTATTTAAATGAAGGAGAAGGATAATGGTTGGATAAGAAGTTTTAATCATTTTTATCATGTTTATGAGTTTATATGATTTTATGTTTTATATGATTTTATGATTTATATCATGCCATTGTGTGTCCTTATGAATAAGATGAACAAGAAGTAGATGGGCAATAGTCCAAGCACTGCAGTCACACTTTCCAGAAGCTTTCCAGATTCATTTGGAAATTGTTCGTACAGAGACAACCCCTACCTATATCCTATACTATGAATGTGTTTGTTGTCCCTCTTGGTTTGATAAAATGGTCGTTGGCATGATTGAAACCATTCTCCAAATCTTTGACTACAATCTCGAAAGTTGTCATTCTTGAATTTTGAATGATTAGTGATTATGATTAAATCATGAAATTCCCTATATAATTGTTGGTGGTGCACCCTTTCCCAAGACATGGCTACTGGATGGCATGGGTCAGCCATCTTAATTCAAAGAATGATGATAAACCGTAGGATTTTGGAAGATTTTCGGACAAACCTACCCTCTGGTTATGACTAACAGTTCGCCATGGTTTTTCGATGGCCCCAATCGAAATAGATGGTGTACCTATTAAAAATATTTAAAAATGGTGGATCTTTCCATGGCAAACTGTGAATGTCATAACCAGATGGGTATAACCTCCATTTTCCTATGGTTTTCCTATGGTTTTCCCAGCTATAAACCTCTATTTTCCTATGGCTTAGTCATAACCAGATGGTACATGACAATATCACCCTCCTGTTCCGAACAAACCTCCGGATGCGCCCCCCACCATCCCCGACCTCCGCCTTGATCAGGCTTTCTTCGGACACGCGCTGCAGGGCAGTGACGGGGGTACCGCCGTGGAAGTACCTGGCGATATCCTCTGGCAACGCAGCAATGGGAAAACATGGTAAGTAAAAACATGTCTGATATGTCTAGATTATTCAAAATTAATTTCCGATAAAAAAATGTTTCTTAAAATGGGGGATCCCCAAAAACCATAGCGTTCAATACTAAACTGATCAAATTTGGGGAAACCTCCATATAGATGCCTATTTAGTTGGAGGATTTCCCAGCCGGCCATCTTTGACTCATTCACCTTGCACTTGGTTTTGTAGATAACCCTCCGGAAGAATGCCCCACTCCAAAGCATGAAAGCTGACCCCTGTTTATATGCACAGGTGTCAGGGTGCATCAACAATTATCAGGCGATGCTTTGTTTCCGTCCGGCAAAGGTCGGGGGGAAGGGACCGAAGCCACAAGAATCACAAGAGAGGGGCTTGGAAATGATGTGACAACACTAGTTCTGCAAAATTCTTCAACGACATCCATCCAGATCCAGCAAAAACAGCCCCGAAACCAGCCCCATTGGTCGACGCACCATCTCTTGGTGCCAGTTAGAAGCAGCAGCCTTGGGACACTTCGAGACACCGCGACATTATTGGCCCAATGGGTTCATGTTTTCTTCACACGTCACAACGACATACAACGACCATACGACCATATGTCATCGCTGAAAAAATATCTTGACGTTCTCAACTATGGCCTCCATTGTGATCAGTCACCTGCCTGAAATGTGTGGTGGTGTTTGGACGATCTCAATGATCTCACAGAAACCATCATCTACAGCGACGACCATTGAGGTCCTTATATTCAGCCAATTGATACATCTCCCATCAAGTCCCCTTTGATTGAGATCCACAATAATAATTCCCCATTCACAACACTTCACCACAAGAAATTTTAATTGATTCCCAAAGGTTTCTTTCGGAAAATCATGAAAACATCCAGCATTTCAAATAGATCCACTGATCCCTACATCCCTAATGATGGTTAATAAGAGTGTATAATGGTTAATAATGGGTAAATCAACAACAATAGTGGGTTGCTGTAACAATCGCTAACAATGGGTATAATTGATGTATATATATATATACAACCGACAATGATGGTTAATAATGGTTATAAAATCTGATCAACCAATTTATGATCATAACATCATTATGAGATTTAGGGATTAACCATTATCATGTTATGATGATGATGTTATGATCATTAATATTCATTAATCCCTAGTAAAATCGGATCTTATGATTTCCATTGATTTCCGCTGATCCCTAGATCTCCACCGTCCCTGACTTGGGACGCTGCCAATTTCGTTCATGTCGGTGAAAGGCAAGGCCGTTCCCATCCTCGTTCTCCTGGCGCGGATCGAAGCGGTAGCGTGTTGGAAAAATCCCTAATGATTTAACCGTGCCCATCCCAGGACAGTTGGATGTGATATTTATCACATGTGTGGCACGTGGGAATTGCCCTCTGGTTATGACTAACAGTTCGCCATGGAAAGAGCCACCAATTGTAATAGGTAAACCATCTATTTCGATTAGGGCCATCTATACCATGGCTATGTTAAATAACCAGATGGTAACAGTTTGTTTTCTTTTTTGGCAGTTATAACATAGATACGGGGGTTACTAAATTAGATACAGCTAATTTTTGGGCTTCTATGTACCAAAGAATTCTTAAGATTGTCACTATATGTTCTCGGAATCTCGGAAGGGGGGGCCTATCAAGATAGATATGGAAAATCCATGGATCGATGGTTTCCCTATAATGATCTTCATGGTGGTTTTCCATATCTATGTTAGTTCATATACAGGATGGTAAATAAATGTTGGTGCTGGAGCATCTGGGTATAGCCGGTAGGCTATAACACCAGTCATACAATGTTATACACAGAAAGATAAAGCATTATCACAGGGTTTATAAGTGGGTACTGTACTATTTCAGGTGCTATCAGGAGACATGAAGGTATTCTTATGTTGCATGTGTCGAAGTTTTCCAGGGTATACGGGTATACCGCCTTAGGTCTTACACCTCAAGCTTCTGAGCTCTACCTTTGCAGTATACAGCTGAGCAGTAACAGTAGGAACTCTCACAATGGATGATGAGAATCCCTTTAATAAATACAAGGCCGTATAATGCGATATTAATGAATCAGCTGACAGGGGTTTAGAACATCAATATATTTCCAGCAGTACAATTCTAATTCCATATATATATAGTTCCATATAGTAATCAATTTCACCTTGCGAAACTTCGGATCTTTCCAACAACTCCATGTTTTTTTCGGCGCAGTTTTTCGCAAAAGGCCGCTCTTCAGCCATGCTGTCCAGCCCATGGTCTTCAGCTCAGTTTCTGAGATTTCCGTGAGCCCGTTGAGATCAAATTGTGAAGATAAGCATTGTGTGTAATTAAATAAAATGTATAAATATCATAATACAGATACAAGAGTTGTTTATCAGAATTATTAACATTAAAAAACAAAAACAATGAAAAATACACAATTCCATACAGAATCCATAGTAATTCATTCTTGTCCGTCTACAGAATGGAAAAAACCTCATGACCCTTCCCAGCTTAAGTATGATTTGTAAGTCTTATTGAACACAAATACTTTCGACTCTAGACGTAGAGTTGTTCTAAAGATATCTGCTCTCTGCTGTCCCAGTGTCATTTCTCGATGCTAAAGGGTATGAAAGACGCCCAAGTTTTACCCACTTTACCTGGGATGGTGATGTTATGACTGGCTCCATCATCTGAGTGTGGTTTCAGATTGCTACCATACAGCGCAGTTGAAAAAGACTTTGATCATCTTTGATCTATTATATCTGAAGTCAAATCAAAACTCGTTTTCGTATCTTTTGCATTCCTTTGCTATGATCTCCGTATTTTCCCTCACTTGTTGGTCACCTACTAGTCATCAATCTGTGTCTTTGATCTTCCTCCCACCTCCAAAACTATCATCTACCATCAGAGCCTCAATGAGCCTCACACAACATCGATCCCAAGATGGCATCTGCCATGAAACTCACCACATATTTGTAGTAGCAGTGCCGATGTGTGGTATCCGGCACCCTGAAACCCTGGGATGTCGCGGGTGTGACACTTGATCACCATTTCAAGTTGAGGTGTATAATTAGTGACTAAGTGCAACCAATAGCTTTTCATGGCACGTGACTTTGCATTCACATACACTTTGTTTGGTGCCTGTACTCTTGGCTGCTGACTCATAGCCTTTTTTGTTTGGTGAAACCCTTTCAAGGAGCCCATCACCCACGAATACGCTCCGGATTTCGAGGTAGGCCGCCATCATTCTCTGCTATGGTACTGATGTGCAGCCTAGGTCTTTTCGGAAGCAAATGTAACCCCTGGTTATTCAACATAGCTATGGAACATGGATAAAAATGGTCCGTTTATAGATGATACAGCCACGAGGGTACCATATATGGGTAGAATCTGGGCTCATCTCCCAACAAAAACTGGATTCCTATCTTTCACCTTAGGTCGTTTCTTTGGTTTTGATGTACACTAATCATATGAGGTGCTGAAAGCATCATCTAAGATCATCAGTATATTCAAATGTGTATATATATAATATAATAATATATATATAGTGGTATATATATATATTAGAATAACCATATATAACCATCTATAACAACCATATCATGGATATTCACTGATCATCGTTGACCTGGTCGCTGATCCTCATTTCTCCGATCCATCGAGGTCATCGTCCAGAAAGTGTCTCAGACAATGCCAGTAGTGCTCACCCGCCAAAAGGTAGGTGCCCATGTGATCGCCCCTGACTCAAGCGACCCCAAGGAACCCCAAGGGACCCCAAGCGACCCCAAGGGACCCCAAGTTGGATGGGTCCAGTCACACTGAACTCCGGGGTCTCCACTTGTTTGGCCTCAAAAAAAGGGCTATGGTAACCTCCAGGGTTGATCACCATCTTTGTTTCTTGGTTCGGTGGAGAAAAAAAACTGTCTTTTTCATGTCGACTGAATCAGTATACATTGATCAAAGGGCTCAAATATTATGATAATCAATGAATACTGATTCATCTGATCAATATTGATCAATGTATATGGATAATGATTCATCAATACTGATTGATGTCTTTGTTTTGGCAAACTGTTAACCACCGATGGTGTTTTACCTCGATGTTATAAAACCATCGCCCAGCCGGCACGGCCTTTGGAAACTGTGGAAAGAGACCTCCAAACTGCGATGTTTTTGCCTCGGCACAAGGTGGTTTGATATCGTTGATATGATGATTTTTTCCTGGATCAGCAATGACTTGATCAATGACTTGGGGATTCAACATGATTCAACATGATTCAACATGATGAAAAACTATCATGGGAATCTCATATTCGGACATATGATATACTGGGTTGTAACATCATGTAACCAACTCGATATAAAAATGATGGGGTGGCTACGCCCGACTCTATCATCTCTATCTCCAAACCATCTTTCTTTGCGAGCGGAATCTGGATCTGCGCTCAACGTGAAACACTTGGAATTCTCTGACAAATATTACATGTATAATTCATTATAATCATACATTATGTCCTGAAATGAAACGGAGCGATGTGAAAGTGAAATAGTATAATACATTGTAATGTAATGAAACGTACTGGAATGTAGTGCATGATGAAATGGGACAACTCTATGTATATAATTATATATATACATATATGCATGTCACACTCCAATCGACAATCTTGAAGCCCAATAGATGGGCGTTTTTTCATTGGGTCAGAACCCCAGAAAATACAAAGAATAGTTGGCAGATGGAGGTTCATCCATGAACATCCGCCAAAATATGATACCCTCTGGTTATGTCAAAATAGCTATTGAAAATGGCCCATTTATAGTGGATTTACCCATTGAAAATGGTGATTTTCCATAGTTATGTTAGTTTACCAGAGGGTATAACATGCCACTCAAGTATCGCACAATGTGTTGAACCCGCGACTCCGTCGACAAACGCAGAAACTCTACACCCTTCGAAAGGCGCAAAAGATTGTCGTGACCACGGGATTCCGCGATTCCGCAATGCATCGCAATGTTGGAAAACCATCCATACAATGGGGATCAGGCTAAGTCTGTTTTAATCCTTTTAAAAGTTACATATCTTGTCATTCGTACTTACCATCCATGTATTTACAAGTGAGAGATTCCCACACAAAGATAACAAAAAAATGTCATCGTCCATAGTGGCGCAAATCATTAACACTGCCAGAAAGAAATGATGCTTGTCTTATGACTTCTAATCTGTACTAGTAATCTTCATAGCAAAAAAAAACTTGGATTTGTTCAAGATAGCAAAAAACAATAGCTTCCATATGGAATTTCCCATTATCATTGGGGAACGACCAAAACCATCTCCAGTTTTCGCGGCCAAGTCACCCAACTCTTCGCAAGTCCTCCATACACGAAGGAGGCACCACCTGATTTCACCAGATCCCCAGCTCAGGGCTTCACCATCAAACATGGGCTGTAACAAACCTGAAACAGAAACATATACCTAGCCAAGATGATCATGAAATACCACCACTATGATCCCCACCCTGAATAGATCTAAAACTACGCCACGTTCGTTGGAGGGAAGAGATCTCTACTGGCTTAATCCCATCCCAGGAGTGTGGTTGAAAAAACCCTGATGCCAAATTCCGGGATCTAACAACATGATTGAAGCCTCCAGTCATGGCTAAGGCTCCCATTTGTTTTGCAAGACCTAAGGGATCACTTTTCATCTCATTCTATGGATCGCATATTGGATGACCCAACCGCTGTAGGGATGTGTAGGATGTGCTTCCTGGCCTTGTCCTGAGCGGCTGATAGCAAGCAAACCTGCAAGCTCTTTGCGTCCTTCGACCTTTGCAGAGCACATCATCCAAAGATCATCCAAAGATAATCCAAGACATCGATCGGAATGCAACTGATATATATATATTATATTATATATTATATTATATATTATATTATATATATTATATTATATATATAATATTATATATATTATATATATATATTGTAATATTATATATATATATATTATATATATTATATTATATATATTATATTATATATATATTATATACATTATATTATATACATTATATTAAATATTATATTAAATTATATATATTATAATATATTATATATCTATATTATAATAAATTATTTATATTATATTATATTATATTATATTATATATATAATATATAATATAATATATATAATATAATATATATATATCTATATATTATATAATATATATATAATAATATATTATTTATATTATATTATATATATATTTATTATTATATATATTACATTATATATATATCATATTATATATAATATATTATATATATATCATATTATATATATTATATTATAAATATATTATATTATAAATATATTATATTATAAATATATTATATTATAAATATATTATATTATAAATATATTATATATATTATATAATATATATTATATTCTAAATATATTATATTATAAATATATGATATTATATATACATATATTATATTATATATATTATATTATATATTTTATTATATATATTATTATATATTGTAAATATATTATATTAAATATATATTATATTATATTACATTATATTTATTATATTATATTATATTATATTACATTATATATATTATTATATTATATACATTATATTATATATATTATATTATTTACATTATATTATATATATTATATTATATATATTATATTATATATATATTATAATATATATATTATATTATATATATATATATATTATATTATATATATATATATTATATTATATATATATTATATTATATATATTTATTATATTATTTATATTATATTATATATATATATATATTATTATATATACTATTATTTTATATTATATTATATTATATTATAATATTATATTATATTATATTATATTATGTTATATTATATTATGGGTGGTTTCCTGAAATACGGGTACCTCCAAATCATCCATTTAAAGCTGGGATTTCCCATTATATAAAATATTACCTATACCATTTTTGGATACCCCCATATCACTGATGGAGGTTGATCCTGGTTGATCCAAAACCGAGGTTCCGAAGAGGTCAACGCGTCATCTGCGCACATTGAAAGCGAGTCATCTGCGCACATTGCAAACGAGTCATCTGCGCACAGAGAAACCGCGTCATCCGCACACAAAGAGCGGTCATCCGCGCACATTGAGGCTGGGAACCAGCCATTTCGGGTTTGGTTCGGGGGGTGGAGGGGTGGGGTGGGGGGGGTGGGGTGGGGTGGGGTGGGATGATAACGTTCATGTTCCTATGCCCACACAGGCACAGCAACCTCATCATCTTTCTTCCCGTAGAGCAGAGACAGGCACAGCTCTTTCATGATCAGTTACCGGTGGGGTGGGGTGAGTTAATAAGGTTCATGTTCCTATGCATACAGACGCACAGCCACCTCATCATCTTTCTTGCTGTAGAGCACTTACACGCACTGCTCTTTCATGATCAGTTACCCTTGGGGTGGGTGGGGGTGGGGTGGGGTGGGGTGGGATGATAACGTTCATGTTCCTATGCACACACAGGCACAGCAACCTCATCATCTTTCTTCCCGTAGAGCAGAGACAGGCACAGCTCTTTCATGATCAGTTACCGATGGGGTGGGGTGAGTTAATAAGGTTCATGTTCCTATGCCTGCACACGCACAGCAACCTCATCATCTTTCTTGCTGTAGAGCATTTCCTCGCACTGCTCTTTCATGTGAAATGAATTGTGTGAAAGAACTTGGGTGAACTTCAGTGAGAGAACACGAAAGCAGCTCCACCAAATGGCACACGAAAGCAGCTCTTGAGTGAGTTGAGTTGTGTAAGATGAGTTGTGAGAGATGAGTTGTGTGAGATGAGTTGTGTGACTTGTGAGATGAGACGAGTAGTGTGAGTTGTGAGATGAGTGGAGTGGTGTGAGACGAGTTCTGTGACTTGTGAGATGAGAGGAGTTGTGTGGGATGAGTTGTGTGAGTTGTGAGATGAGTTCTGTGAAAGAACTTGGGTGAACTTCAGTGAGAGAACACGAAAGCAGCTCCACCAAATGGCACACGAAAGCAGCTCTTGAGTGAGTTGAGTTGTGTAAGATGAGTTGTGAGAGATGAGTTGTGTGAGATGAGTTGTGTGACTTGTGAGATGAGAGGAGTTGTGTGAGTTGTAAGATGAGCGGAGTGGTGTGAGATGAGTTCTGTGAGTTGTGAGATGAGTGGAGTTGTGAGATGAGTTGTGTGAGTTGTGAGATGAATTGTGTGAAAGAACTTGGGTGAACTTCAGTGAGAGAACACGAAAGCAGCTCCACCAAATGGCACACGAAAGCAGCTCTTGAGTGAGTTGAGTTGTGTAAGATGAGTTGTGAGAGATGAGTTGTGTGAGATGAGTTGTGTGACTTGTGAGATGAGACGAGTAGTGTGAGTTGTGAGATGAGTGGAGTGGTGTGAGACGAGTTCTGTGACTTGTGAGATGAGAGGAGTTGTGTGGGATGAGTTGTGTGAGTTGTGAGATGAGTTGTGTGAAAGAACTTGGGTGAACTTCAGTGAGAGAACACGAAAGCAGCTCCACCAAATGGCACACGAAAGCAGCTCTTGAGTGAGTTGATTTGTGTAAGATGAGTTGTGAGAGATGAGTTGTGTGAGATGAGTTGTGTGACTTGTGCGATGAGGGGAGTTGTGTGAGTTGTAAGATGAGCGGAGTGGTGTGAGAGGAGTTCTGTGAGTTGTGAGATGAGTGGAATTGTGTGAGATGAGTTGTGTGAGTTGTGAGATGAGTTGTGTGAAAGAACTTGGGTGAACTTCAGTGAGAGAACACGAAAGCAGCTCCACCAAATGGCACACGAAAGCAGCTCTTGAGTGAGTTGAGTTGTGTAAGATGAGTTGTGAGAGATGAGTTGTGTGAGATGAGTTGTGTGACTTGTGAGATGAGAGGAGTTGTGTGAGTTGTAAGATGAGCGGAGTGGTGTGAGATGAGTTCTGTGAGTTGTGAGATGAGTGGAGTTGTGTGAGATGAGTTGTGTGAGTTGTGAGATGAGTTCTGTGAAAGAACTTGGGTGAACTTCAGTGAGAGAACACGAAAGCAGCTCCACCAGATGGCACACGAAAGCAGCTCTTGAGATGTTTAAAAAAAAGCTAGAAGAAGAATCATGTTACAGAGATACAATGACAAAAACACACAACAAAAACGTGCACAGACGACCAACCGTCTGACGTGCACAAACGACCCACTTTTGACGTGCACAGACGAACCCTGAACCGCTCTCGTGCCGAGCACATACCCAAGTCATCCCAAGTCGCTGTTTCCTAAAATAGGACTTCGCCAAATCATCCACAAATATCAAAACATCGTCTATTTCAATTTTAGTATACCGCTCCGGCTCCAATTTAGAAAATACCCAAATGGAGAAAAGATGACAACAGTGTCTGAGACACTGGGCCATCGACCACGAAGCATTGGTGCCTTTTTATGCGAGATTCCAGGTTAGAGCATGGCCCCTGTTTCAACTGTGATGCGCAGAACGGTGGTTTTGGTCCACAGCTCTCAGGCTCTCAAGTTGATCCTATCCAACAGAGCCCTACCAACAATGTCCTCCCTTATGCTTTCACGGCACCCCATCACAGGGACGTGCTGTCGATATCCAGGAAAGCCTCCTAGGCAGGATTGACACTGCAGCCCCGTTGTTGTGGAAGTGGCTGCTTTTGTCAACAATGTCGTGGCCGTGGCCACCGTCATTGTGGTCATGCAGTGGTGGTACTAACTACTTCTTGTGTTGGTGCTGGCACTGCTGATACTGCCACAACTTCTGTTCCCACTCTTGTTCATCTTGGTTTCTTGCTTTGATGATTTTGATGTCTCTTTTTCCTATCTTGATTAATTCACCCTTCAAGCCGTCTATCTACCGAGGTTTGCTCAGGAGATCTCAAGAGTGTCTACCAGCGTCGAGGTACACACAAAAATGGAAGAAGTCATGCTGACAAACCACCATTCGACCATGGGTCCCGTAGTGTTGTGGCTTAATTTCTCATCCGCCGAAACAACTCTGGTCTTGAATTCGAAAGCTTGTGTCAATACATGCCTCTCACCCTTCCATTTTCTTCGCCCGTCCTTTGATAGGCTCCACTGATGCAAGCGATTGGTACAAGGTTGAACTGATACACCACGCCTCGAGGTGACAAAGGCCGAAAATCACATGGTCTGTAGCAAGCAGTTGCCAACTAGAAGGCTCTCATGGTGACATCCCAGCCACAGCGGATCCCTCACACTGCACTACGGTTTCCTCCTCCAGTGCATGGCGACCGCCGGTGGTAGAGCCTCCACCAACCTGCAGGACATGCTGATTGCATTACCGTGGAGCCAGACGAAGCCGTACGAAGTCCATGGTCCCCGGTCTACGTGAATGTTGGAGTGGCACCAAAGCGACAGGATCCAAAAGCACCAAGCTGCAGTACAAAACCCATGGTACATCCGTGAACATTTTGGTCAACCACATGTTGACTTCCAAATTTTCCAAATCAATATGATCAACCGCAAGCTTCAAACGGTGCCCAGTGCCTGGTAAGCCGAGGCCGCATTCACGGCTACTACCTTTGCGCCCTGGGCTACCATGAAGGCTGCTACCTCGGTTGATACAGGTTCCACATGTTGCTGGCCATGGTTCAAGCCGTGCCAATCCCCAGCCTCCATCACGGTCTCACCCTCTGGTCTGGGGGAACCTTTCATGAGATCCTGCCAGGGGAAACCATCTTCATCCATCTTCCAGCTTGGAAGTGAACTCATGAGGACTAATCACTTCATACTCTACGGCATAATAACTTCGCAGGTGTATAGCACTGTGAGTATTCTGCTGTGAATCCTCAAGGTAACCTCCCAAATAAAGATTCAGTGCCAAGCGCAACCTCTACATGAGTTGGTCATCCAAGCGCCAAAGGGGACGCGCCTCAACACGTCTCAGTTGAAAGTGGACTTCCTTTAGCCTCAGTTGCTTAGTTGGGCTGAGAGCTGTCGGCTGCAACCATGCCACAGAAGGTAATCATAATATGACATGAGAGGGTTGCAATCAAAGCATTGCTTTGAGGGACGCAAACATAAATATCATAAACTGTGCACATATATATATATATATAATTATATATATATTATTTATTATTATATTACTGTATCATATTATGATTCATAATTTGGACAGGGAAGCATTGAGTACTGTAACTACTGTTCCTACAACTTTATTGTCTCACTGTCTTGCAAACTGCTCAGAAGCATCGGTCGCTGGGCAGCAGACACGTCTTCCTCTTCTGCCCCATTGGTGTTTGTACCAGCAGAGCCACCGATGAATACCTCATCTGATGAAGTCTAGTGCCATACTTTTTGGAAGCGTCGAACAAAAAGTTGAACAAGAACCCCACCAATTACCAATAACTTCCATCAAGTATCTATCAAACTTTATGAAACTATATGAAATGAATGGAATGAATATGAGATGCACATATTTGACATATTTGATCCCTTCCTTGTTTCCTGTCATTTCCTGTCGCATGGATTCCGTGAGATCTCCCAAAAAACGGCCTGAGTCCCGGTGAGCATCTTGTCAGTATCAATTTTGATCTCCTGGGGCGGAGCAGCGGAGCACGGCGCACAAAATCCGGGAATCTCCACCTGCACAGCTCTCCGAGCTCTCCCTTTGCCGCAACGACAGTTTGAAGTTTCAACAATGCGGTTGCTCCAAGGCCTTGAATTATAGTACTATATCAACACTCACATTGAAACATATGAAGCCGTGTTTGTGTACCCAGCTCCAATCTTGGCAGCTGCGCTCCTTACTTTCCACTGAAAATGTCTTGGCATAAACCTGAAGCAACAGCAAGGGTCTTAGGAGAAGTAGGGGGATTGCATTTCTGTGCCTGATCAAAGTTCAAATTCACCCACACAAAGAATTTGGATATTCGTGGCACTCGCGCTGAGTACTTGTTGCTTACAACATCTCACAAGTACGTGCTCAAAAAGTGCAAAGAGCGACTTTAATACTTGTGGCGACACCTCAGTCTTGTAGAACAAGGAATTGCTACACGGTTGTTGGGTGAGGTGGGTGAGGTGGGTCTTGCAGTTTCCCACTTGAAACCAACAATCATGGAGCTATGGTATCTGTCATCTGTTTTTGTGCTCTTTTTTACACATGACTGCAGACAAGTAAGACAAATGACAGCAGCCACTTGCAGATCCGGACAGCGCGAAATGCCCCCAGGGTTGCTTCGAACTTCCAACGTTTCTAAAAACTGGGAGCACGCGATTCACGAGTACTCCAAAATACCAAATGGTAGAAGCACTAGACATGGACAACTAAGCCAAAAATAAATGCGGCCCTTTGGTCGAACTACGTTGGAGATATGCGAATCACATGCCAAGAAGTGAATACCGCTAAGAGTTCCAAACAACAATTGATCATGCCCCATGTTGGTCCAAGTTAGGGTACATATGCTGCATCAATGCATTGCATTGTAACAATCTGCAACAGATATACAGGACAGTAATCCAACTTGACATTTGATGAGTCATGACTCGTCCATGCATGGAATCACAATGCCCAACTTGGATTCGCCACGGCTCTCTGTGTGAAGATGAAGGCCTTCCAAATGCAATGGCTCCAAGATGTCTTGGATGGCTCCAACGAACTATGACAATCATTTTGGATTAGATTTGATTAGAATTATATATATATGATTATATATGGATATAGACAATGTAGAGTAATAATAATAATAATTAATAATATATAATAATATATAATAATGAGCCAATACAATTCAGCTCCAGCCATTAAAGCGTGATTCCAATAAGTGGCCACAACAAACCAAGACATATCCAAAATACAAAAATTTGAAGAAGTAAGCCTTAACTCTCCAAGATACAATTCAAAATCCAGTTACAAATCATGGCAGAACAATGCTCCCAAGTTTCAGGAAAATCATGGTTGAAATCGGGTGCACTCTAAAATGACTACATTTTGATAAGGGCTTGGATAACCCATCAACAGTTGCTTCGTTATGTTTTTTTGAGTTTTTTGTTGCGCTGGCCAACCAGATCATAAATTTGGTACCGAGTAGGGCCTCAAGACGATAAAGCCGTGCATCTTGATCATTGTCCCTTCAGGGTACAGCTGGTCAGCTGTCGACACTTGCAGGGCCAGTGGACGTCAAGAGATGTTCTGAAAACGTTGCTCTGCTTCGAAAATATCTACCCAAAAGATCCTTCAAGATCTCTTAGCTTTGACAATGAAGCTGTTTTGTCAAAAGAACGATGTTTCAGGATGACTGTACTTCAAATATTGCACGAGTCGCTGGAAACTGAACCAACTTCAAGCCAAACAACCCGCGGCACCTACGACACCAGGAGTAGCCCTCCTTCCGCATAGGGATGCGGCCACGCTGGTTGTCAATGGTAAAGGACCCAGTGGTCTTACTCACCTCCGCGGACAACTGGTCTTTTCTGGGGGTGGCAAGGAGAACAAAATCTCATGAAATGTTGAAATGTCATATTATATTATATTATATTATATTATATTATATTATATTATATTATATTATATTATGTATATATATATATTAAATATTATATATATATTATATATATTATATATATAATATATATTATATATATTATATATATATATTATATTATATATATATATATTATATTATATATATATTATTTTATTTTATATTATATTATATATATATTATCATCTTCAACATCAAAGCATAAGTTTTCTGCATTCACACAGAAAGACATGATCGAGAGAACAAAAAAACAATGGAAATCCATTGAAATCCATGGAGGCCTTGCTACTCAAGGTGTCCCGCAGCGATTCCGCTGTAGCACCTCGCCAAGTTTGTGGATGTTGAACGTCTGGTCTTTATTTAGTTTGAAGACGTAAAGAAATTTCATTTCCGGCCTCAGGAAAGATGTTTCCAACACCAGAATTTCACAGTCAATATAATAGGATATTACGGTATATGATAATGATAATACTCATGATCTAGGATGATCTAGGGAGAAAATGAACAAAAATGCTGCTTTTCACGATGTTCAACATGGAAATGTCGTGAACTTCCGCCTTGGGCACATAGCTCCACCTTCAATTCTCTCAGCTGCGCTTGCTGCTTGCCGCTGAGCTGTGCCAAGGCCAAGGCTACCTGTGAGCCACGTGGCATCTGGGATTCTGTTTTTGGGATCATTCTGGAATGATTTGGGATCTGAAATCATCTGAAAATCATGTGAAAATCGATCAAAATAGGTCCCAGTCACATGGAGTGGGATGGTTCGTAATGTGGAATTGATATGAATTCACCACAATCTGTGGGTCTTCAGACCATGTTGACTCATAACATCCCATAACATCCCATAACCATGATTGACGTGTCTGAAAATAGGATACCCCAAAATACATACACTGGCGTGTCATTTTCCCCCATGAAAACGAAAACAGACAACATCATTTTCACCATGGGGATATCCCCCATTGACACATCTGGCTGCGTCCCATTGTAGCAAGGCACAGCACTCCACAGCGGTTGAGACATCAGGACTCGCTTCACTGTGGTGCCCATCTTCGTAACCATGGGCAAAGGCACCAGCCGCAGAGCTGGCAGCACCACATGGGGATATTATGAAGACATTACGAGTACCAAGATATTGGATATATTAATCCAAATAATATATACATATATATATATATATTATATATACGTATATATACGTATATATACGTGTATATATATATATTAATTATGGAAATTTATATAATATATATGGGGATAAAGACATTTGACGGTATTCCCAAACCATGTATGGGCATATAATATAATTTGGTAATGCATCTGCGGCATCAATGATTTGGGATGCTCTGGGAATATTATGAAGATATAATAAATGAAGATATCATGGGGATATAATATGCATATTATGAAAATAGAATGGGGATTTATGATATATTATATGAATGGATGTTTGCGTGGGATTTGGGATCTGGGCTCCAAGGTCAGATCTAGAATCCAGGATCAGTGGTCTCAAAGTCAACAATTGGTGAGGCGTTTGGGTACACAGCTGTGTGTTTGGAGGTTCATGGTCAAATGTTTTTGTTTTGTTCATTTGGAACTCCAGCTCTTCAGGATGCAGTCAGGCCTGTTGTTTGTCAGGCTTTCGCTGCCAACTGAGATCGTTGTGAACTCGTATGAACTCCCTTGCTGCGTGCTGCACCTGTATATTTCCCATCCTGCAAGAAGGCTTCCAGTACTGCGCGGTAGGCCTCGGCTTTCGGTGCGTTCCAGCCGCTGATGGAACTCAACCCCAGTTGGATTTTCATGTTTTTCAAATTTTCAACACAAATGCAACATCATCAGAACTTTTATAGACTTTTCAGAAAACCCCGGAAGAAATCGCACGAAATCCACTTCCATCACACTCCGGAACCTCAGAGTCTGAAGGGATCTGATATGATCTGATTTTGTTGGTGCACTTGTTGCACAGCTCGCCTGGGCCAAAGCTGCCAGAAGGTCTGCAAGGCTATTGGCCTGGCCGTCGGAAAGGCCATTGG